TTTTTTTCCTTTAAGAGCTCGATAATATTTTATTATGTGCATATGCCACATTTTTTTTCTCTATTCATGTGTCCATGCACATACACATTCTTTCCAGGTCTTGGTTATTGTGAATCCTGATACAGTGAGCATAGAATTGGCCTGGACTCAGCTCAGAGGATGTTCCCATTTGTCTCCCAGGGAATCTGAAACCTGCCCTGTTTTGCGAATGCCCTTGATGTACTGCACAAGGCAGTGTGTGATATAAAAAGAAATAGGTCTGGTCATATCAGTGTGACAGAGGGGGTAAAAGCTTATCCTGTTTAGCTCCTTACATACCAAGAACAGGATACCTAGGGAAGACCTCAGCATCATTAGACTACAGTATAAGAGTACGGAGTAACAGGAAGAACAAAATGGCTTCAGATGAGACTTGAGAGATATGCAGTTTGGGAAGGGCTAGAAGAGACAAAAAGAGATTTGAACCAGAGACACCATAGAATTTGAAGAGCGAGAGATGATAAGCAAAGAGAAACTTGTGGTGATAGTGTGAAGTAGAGGGCCTGGTGTGGTAGCCTAGTGTCTAGGGTCCTTGCCTTGTATGCACTGTGATCCCAAATGGGCACCGATTTGTGTCCTGCTGCTCCATTTCCCATCCAGCTCCCTGGCTGTGGCCTGGGAAAGCAGCCAAGGATGGCTCAGAGTCTTGGAACACTACACCCGCCTGGGAGACCTGGAAGAAGCTTGTGGCTCCTGGCTTCAGATCAGCTCAGCTCTGGCCATCGTGACCACTCAGGGAATGAACCAGTGGAAGGAAGATCTTTCGGTCTCTCCTTCTCTCTGTAAATATGCCTTTCCAATAAAAGTAAATAAATATATATAAAAAAAAAGAATACATCAGTGATGAGGTGATCCTCCTACTGTGCTCTCCATCCCCCAAGCAATTCAACACGTATGTGGTGAGAACAGATGTGTGTTGGCGGATAAACACCTGCATCTTCAGTGACCAACCTAATGTTTGGCAATGCTGTTCATTTTCGCACCTTGCTGCTGTCTACTGCCATCGGCCTTCAAGACACAGTGGCTGAATGAACAAAAATTACACAGTATTTATAAAACCAGGAGGTTTTTCCTCCCTCCTCCCCAAACTCCACAGAAACATAGACACTTTTTCAGATCAACTAGGATTGCGGGCAAAGATTCAGCTGGCTTTATTCATTCCTCTCTGATCTGCCTTGACTGTCCCTGGTTAGGATCCCAGCCAGCCAGAAACAAACACAAAGCTAAACAGGAAAACAGAAGAATAAAATAACAACAACGGCATGTTCCTCTAAGCCCTGTCTAGGACTGATAGAGCTGACAGAGATAAGAGGAAATTGTATTTAAGCAATCAAGGGGCTTGGTTCATGTTGGAGACCTCTTTGACCATGATGCTTTAGATGCAGAGATAAGATCTCCAGCCCGGTGTTCAGAGGTGCGCTTCCCCGTGCTCTGCTAGGGGACAGGCAACTAACAACAGTAAGGGAGAGGAATTTTAAAATGATACATGTCGAATTGCTGGCCTGAACTTCAAATTCCATAGATAGTTTATGCAAAGTCTTGCACTGTTGCAAAGTGTAACACAATCCACTGGCAGATCTGCCTAAACCCAGTCCCATTGTTTTTCAGAAAAGTAAACAAACTTGAAAACCTCTTGCAGCCTGTGAAAGTGGCTACGTCTTAGTCTCCTAAGAAGTTGGGGGTTCTTAGAGATTTGAGTAATGGAAACTATCACCTAATTCCTGGACAATGGGCTTGCTGATCCCTGGTGACCTTGATGTCCTTACAAAGCTACCTGTGCTGTTCAGGGAACTAGTATCAAACTGGGAGGACCTGTCTGACTTGTAGTGCAGCAATGAGGGCATCTTTTGCAATACACTTCTCAGTGTAGCTCATGTAGTTAAACTCTGCTTAAGTGAACAGCTACAAGGCAATTTGACATATTAAATACATGAGTGGAGATGCTCTTATTGAAATGGCAGAGCTAACACTAAGCAGAATTTTCTTCAGTTTGACTTTCCCCAACTGACATTTCTGTGGAATCCTAAGAAGCCAAGGAAGTTCCTTAAGAACTGTGTGACCTCATGCAATATTCAATGTGCAATGTCAACTGAAATACAAAGAGAATTAGTTTGTTCATGATCACAAATCACATTTGAATTGATCAAAGACCAGAATTAGTTATCCATGGTGCCAAACCAGCCTACCACTTCAGAGCTTCTTTGGCAACATTTTGAGGTTTTTTTCAAAGTTGGTTATGTAACTTTCATTTCCCTCTGTTGAGGTTTTAAAAATGAATCAATGAAAATGTTTATATGAAGGGTAATTGGGTAAAGGGCATATGGGGGAGCTTTCTGTTATATTTGCAACGTTATTGTAAAGCATCTAACTTTATAAAAAAAACTTTTTAAAATAAAAGCATGAATGTTTGAGATTTTTATCACAATGCAGCTTAACTTATTCATGCCTATTGTTGTTAAGAGAATTGAGATTTGACATTTTCTGAGAGTTCCTAGAAGCCAAATTGCCAGAAGAAATGGTGGAGAGAAGGGCATTTGAGCTTTAGAAAATTTATAAATGGGATAATTGGCATATTAAAAGGAGCCCTAAAGGATGTCAAGAATAAGAAGGATGCTGTCATGGAAGATTCCGATCTGATGCATACAGCTGATCCGAACCCCCTGCCTAGGAACTCATTCTAGGTTGATGGTCTTTCATCTGTTGTAAAAGGTTTTTAAGCCAATATTTTATAGATTTTTCCCCCTTTACTTCATAAATTTGCATAGATAATGTCAGGCAAAGCATCTATGCATATCAGCTGTAGGCGCTGCCTGAAATTGACTTTTCTTTCTGTAAGAAGTATAGCACCCTTCAGATAAGGTTGAAGCAACAGTTGTCCCCAATTCCAAGGACCATTCCTCTTCTTTGATACCCAGAGATAACTACTATGCTGAATTTGATGCATACTTTGAAGCATCTTTGAAAATATAGATATATTTTTTAATTTGAGAGGCAGATTGACAGAAAAAAGAGAGAGAAGGAGAGACAGACAGAAAGACACAGAAAGTTTCTCTACACTTGTTCACCCAGATTCCTGGAACCTGCAAGTAAATCCAGTTCTCCTGTGTGGACGGCAAGGATGCAAGCACTTGTGTGTAACAGGAGGCTGGAGTCACGACGGGCTCAGGCTCTGATGTGCATGAGGGCATTCTAAGCAGGATCCTAACTGCTGTACCTCTGTACTCCATGTTTAACTTATTTTTAAAAATGAGTAGGTATTTATTTGAGAAGCAGAATGACAGAGAGATGAGGGAGAGACAAAGAGATCTTTCATCAGCCAGTTCACTCCCCAGATGATCATGGCAGCCAGGCCTGAACTAGACAGGAGCCAGGAACCAGGAGTTCTATCCTGATCTCCCACATGCATTTTCCACTGTCTTCTCAGGCACATTACCAGGAACCTGGACTGAAACCAGAGAGGCCAGGACTTGAACCAGCACTATGATATGAGATGATGGTGTCATGGGTGGTAACCTAACTTGCACAGGGATGCCCACCTCAGTGTTGCCCACCCCCATTCCATTTTTAATTTGTATGAATAATTGAACAATTATTATTTTTGTACATGTACTTATCCATTTAAACCTTGTTTCCTTTTTTCCCCCACTCTGTTGTGTTTCTGTATATGTTATATTTCTGTCTTAGTGCCTAAAATTTTATCAGTAGATGTTCTGTTTTGAGTGGCTAAAGTTTGTACTGAACCAAGGATTCAATATTCTTGTGTCATCCATGTGTATAAGTCTAGTTCATTCCTGGATTTTTTGTATATAGAAATTCATCATGTGAACACCTGACGTTTTCTGTATCCTTCCCCCACCAAATGAGCATATAAACTATTTTTGATCTTTAACTACACACACATATGTACACACACAAAACACAGAGACACACACATTTTCTTTTGCAGGAATGGACTCTTCACTTTCTTTTGCCTTGGTTGGCTTCATGTGTTTGTTTAGTCTGGTTGAGAATTTACCATCTCACATTTTTTTTTTTCCAGAGCTTGCAAACTCCCTAGAGTTTTCTAGATGAATGCTCCCTTGCAGATGAGTAGCTTGCAACTTGGAGATGTGAAATGACAGGCCTAAACTCACAGGGACGTTTTGAGAGGGGAGCCACCTTAGAAGAGAGAAGGCAGTAATCTTGAGGCAATGTCTGCCAGCTGTCTCACCAACCTCAGGAATGTTCCAGTCGTTCCTATCCCTTCCATCAGTTCACAATTACGAGGAAACTTCAAAACATTTGCTGAAAAGGGAGTGAAATGATTATTTTGATGCAAAAGATGTTTGAAATCCCTGCATGTGTTTTTTTTTTTTCCTTTTTTATGACCTATTTGTTCAATTTGAAAATTACGGAAAGAGAGACAGGCGGGGAGGTGGAGAGATGAGACGGGATGTCATGTGAATGGGGTTTTTTCAGTCTGGTGATAGCAGAGCAGGTGTTTACGCACTCACTGGCTTTTTTGGCATTAGTATTGTTCTTAAATGGTCTGCTGACATTCAGGACTCTATGAACCAAAGCCTCAGAACTTCCTTCCCTGTTACTTTCCTCTAATCATAGCAAGCACTTTTTCACGGTTGGAGCATTCTGAGCCTTTCTCCTGTCTGCAGTGCCTGTCCTGCTCTCTGTCCCACTCTTGCAGAGGCAGCCCATGTGTCCACTCCTCCAGAGAGTGTCCCAGTGGAAATGTCTCTGTCACTTCTAACACCAAAGTGTCTGCTCTTTGCTTAACATTGAAGCTTATCTCTTCCACACTGGGCTATAAACCCTGGAATAATTTTTTTTTTCCTATTTATCCCCATTGCCTCTGGATGCATCAAGAACAAACCTCAGGAGTGGATAGTAAAGTCTGTCAAACAAAACTTTGTTGAACTGAGATTCTCTAACCTATTCCTCCTTCCTTTTTTTCTTCCTTTTTGCAGGTGTGTCGAACCAAGGTGATAGATCTCAGCGAAGGCATTTCTCAGCATGCCTGGTATCCTTGTACCATCAGCTACCCATACTCCCAGCTGGCTCAGACTACTTTCTGGCTCCGGGTAAGCCTAAGATTTGGGGGTCTTAGAATTTGTGTCAGTGACCTCCAAGAAGCACCAATTCTCATGGGCCTTCCTCAAGACAGTCTGTGTATCCATTCCGGTCCTTAGTTTGTAAGCGCAGGGAAGAACACACTCAGCAGTGAAATGATTCCTGAAATGAAATCCTTTAATAGCTCTTGCAAGGTCCCCACTCAGCTATTGCTTCCAGAATCTCCTGTTCACTATTCAATGTCTCCTAAGATTATCTTCTCTCCTTGAAGTCTTTAATCATCCTCATAGAGAGAAGTGACTGTTCTTTCCGTCCTACCTCTGTGTGTTATTGTTCACCTGTTGAATGACACTTGTCGCCTGGCAGTTGTCACCTGACACTTAGCTGTGTGTATGCCCACATTTCTGACTAAGGACTAAGGATCGGTTCCTTTTGGTTTATGTCTCACTGACACGCTCTCAGTGCCTGGTACAGAGGCTGCCAGGGACAAGTGACAGGTAACACAGCCCTTTTCATGGTTTCCTTGTTTGCCAGGCCCTGTGCTAGACACTTCATTCCCATTCTCGTCTTAGAGTCTTACTATGTGGCTGTTATTTTACTAGCCACCATTTAGAAAACAGGATCCTTGGACCCAAAGAGGCCCAGCCATCCGCACCATTGTCATGCGGGTGGGTAGGTACAGAGCCAAGACTGGGGCAGATGTCTAACTTCGGAACCCGTGCTCATTCCTGTTAAGTGTTCGCACCTCCCCCTTGCTATCCAGGGCCCACTCCTACACAGCTCATATGCAGAAATTGGTGATTCTCCTAGAAGCCCCCATCATGCGGCTGCTCCTCCCCAACATGAATGAACTATCCTCCTATGTCTTCTCCTTTTCAGGCGTATTTCTCTCAGCCAATGGTTGCTGCAGCTGTCATTGTCCACCTGGTGACCGATGGAACATACTATGGGGATCAAAAGCAGGAGACCATCAGTGTGCAGCTGCTTGATACCAAAGATCAGAGCCATGACCTAGGCAAGTTCTCTTGGGCCTAGCTTGCTCTTGGCACCTGCATCTATATCTACTGCGTGGGTAGTGGTGAGAATCAGCTTGGAGTGAGCTGTTTACTCCCCTTTGATGCTTTCTGCTTCTCTGTTTGAGATTCTGATAATCCAGGCATGAGATCTGATAAATACAGGGACAAAGGGTCATTGGGGAAACTTCCCTTCAGTAGCCTTCCTTTTCTTAGAAATCTTTAACTTTAGGCACCCCTTATGATAGTCCGAAGGATTAAGCAAGAGCCATTCAGCCATTCTCCATGTGTATACCTCTCTGAGACCCAAGCAGAGGTGCTGAGAGAGGCTCTTCCGGCATGCTGAGTCTCAGTAGCTCAGGTTTCTACTCACTGAGCCTTAATAAACAGCCAGGAATTTCCAAAGATGCCCACAATTCCAGACTTTGCTTCCAACACAAACTCCAGAGAAGATGCTATAGGAGTAAGAATAATACTTTTTTTAAAAAGTTCTCTCTGTTTTAGCACTAGAATGGAGGATAGAGGTCCAGACCTACCTACTGAGATGCATTCATGTGTAGGAGGTCTGTCCAGCTAGAGCTGGATATCCTTGCTCAGTGTCTGGAGTTCAGGACCAGCACAGGACCTGGATTTCGGAACTGTGCCTGCTCTACTGCAGAGTGCTGAATTCAAAGGCCACTACACAACAAGTGCATGAAGGGTCACTTCAGGGTCAGCAAAAAGTGCAGAGAGCAAGCAGGGTATTTTATTTTGTTTCTGTGTTTATTTATTTAGCTTGTTTTAAAGGCAAAGGGGAACGTATTAATAAGCTAAAGAAAGAAAACCCCTCTGGATTTGTCTGAATTCCTGGAAAGTTTCCCTAAGTGAGGAGCAAATATTTTCATAGTTGTCCTGGCTCTGAGGAGTGGTTTTTCAACAGCATGAATGAGGAAAATACTAGCTCCATGGAGAGTGCTGGGATCCTGCCACCAATGCTCCAGGCTTCCACACTTGCCTGTCTCCCAGCATTCCAGCATCGGCAGTGGAATCCTCATGGCTCTGAGAGCAAGCAGAATGGGAAGGGGAACTGCTGGGCTCACAGCTTCATGTTTCTGTCAGGAGAACGCTCCCAACAGGACAAACCTGCCAGGACATGGTTAGGTTTTTAAATGTAAAGACAAATGCTGGGGACTTGTAATAATGTCCCATCAGTGGGAAGTGGCTAACCAGGTTCACCAAACACCAAAACCAGCATCTTTCTTACCAACCCCATCAGCCCCCATCACTTCCTTTCCTTTCCCTTCCCTTCCTTCCTGAAGCCTGGGGATCTATTGTCAGTATCAGACATTGCTGATAATTCTTGAGTGGAGTAAACATGGATTCTGCCTGGATTTGGATTGGCAGAGGTACTTGGCCTCTGGAAATCCACCTCCTGCCCACATGCCAGCTCCATCTCTGTCCGGGGAATTTGAGGCCATCATCTCTAGGTCTGGAGATGATGGATAACAGCCCCTGCGGAGAGGCTGCTGTGAGCCATGTCCGTCAGCTTTGCAACTGTCCAGGCTGGCAGTATGAACACTAGCAGCTCAGACCATGAAGCCCTAAAGCAACGTGGGAGGGAGCCAAGGGCCAGGAATGCCTGTCTGAGGGGTGGCCAACTGGGGGAGGGAGAGAGGCGGTGGGCACTAGGTAAAGGGAAAGCTTAGGGGGCAGGGAGACAGGGGGATTGGAAAGATTTGGAACCAAGGAAAAAAGGCAGACAAAGAAACTTTCAATCAAACTCAAAATCCCCACCGGCTGCCCAATGGTGCTTTTGTGCAGTGACATGAAAGAGTTTGGGGGCTTCGGGAAGAGCCCGTTGGGGAGGGCGTGACTGGCCTTGAGGAATGAGCCTGGCCCCTCGGCCCTTCTGTCTCCCCTGACAGGCCTCCATGTCCTGAGCTGCAGGAACAATCCCCTGATTATCCCTGTGGTCCATGACCTCAGCCAGCCCTTCTACCACAGCCAGGCGGTGCGTGTGAGTTTCAGTTCACCCCTTGTCGCCATCTCGGGGGTGGCCCTCCGCTCCTTCGACAACTTTGACCCCGTCACCCTGAGCAGCTGCCAGAGAGGGGAAACCTACAGCCCTGCCGAGCAGAGGTAAGGAACCCTGGGCCTGCTTGTCCCGGGTCATTTATTGCCAAATGGAGATGGTGTGATGTGAAGCTGGGAGTCATGCATGCTGTTGTGAAACGTGTGTGTTTGCTCTGCTCTGTCCTGTACTGGCTGGCACTGCCTTTAAACTTGAGAGGCTCCACATCTTTGATTTCCTCAGTTATTCAGGGAAAGAAGGGTGGGAGATGGAAAGAGAAGCTTCACACTGCCTTGCACCTCTGGAGTTGACAGTAACGTTCATGGTCATCCTTAAGACATTGTCTTCTGGGACTCAATACCCTCTTCCAAACAGAGAGGGGCAATGGATGAGTTTTTACTTAGCCCTATAAAAGTTGAATGTTCTGCTTTATTGGTAATAGAGGCAGACAACATAACCTAGCTGCACTGGGGCGGGGGGTGGAATGGGGTTGGTATTTTCTTTGTCACAGTTCACTATGAATTTCAGCGAGTGAAACTTCTTTATCTCTCTGAAGTCCAGTTGCTGAGATTCTGCTAGTGGTCTAGGAGCTTCACTCCATCAATGCTTTTGACCTTGATTTGTTATTGCACCTTAAGTAGAGCCAGGAGGAGCTTTGGTAATATACTTGGATTTGGACCTCCGTATTATACTCCTTCTAATGTGTGTCTTTGTTTTATAATTTTTAATTGCTATTATTTTTCATGAAATGGTTTTGTAAGTACGGGAATTTCCCCCTCCGCCTTCATCCCTCCCTTTCCATTCTCCCCCACCACCCCTCGCCACACACCACTTTTCCCATATTATTACAATAGTATTGACCTTCAGCAATGGTCATAAGTCCAACATTCTGCTATTTAAGTGTATCATGCAATTGTAGGTAAAGTAATGATTGAAAAAATATAACACTTTCATCAAGCATTCTCCTTTTATTTGAAAGTAAAGATTCATGCTACAATGCATCTTCACTCCCTAGGATGCTAGCCACCATTATCTAGTTCATCTATGGAAAAAAATATATATATAACAGATATACATGTTTACCTATATATCTATTTATTTTATAGTTTGTCAATGTTGCCTTATATCCGAAAGAACATGTGACATTTTTCTTTTGAGATTGACTTATTTCACTGAACATAATGATCTCCATCTGGGACCATTTTTGTTGCAAATGGTAGAATTTCATTCTTTTTAATGGCTGAGTAGTATTCCATGTTGTCAAAAGAGGAGTGGGTAAAGAGACTGTGGTACCTTTGATGTGTGCCCTTGAATGCATCTTTTCACATTTCTGATCCTGTTTTGCTTGTTTTGGAGCCAGTAAATAATAGAAGCTATTGCACAGGATGACTGTGGGAGTTGAGAATCTCAGCGTAGTTGAAAGTGCTCTTGGCACTCTCTGAAGACAATGTATGAGTTAAACAAATGGCCATGTTCTGAAGACAGTGATGGTTCCTTGTGCAGAATGCTGTGTAAAACTCTTTAATCAGAGATACAAGAAGCTTCTGACGTGACCTTGGATATATAATTCGTCTACACTCTCGTGTTGCCATCCGAGCCTTAGGGCCCAGGTTGGAGAAGAAGTGCCCCAGAGTGGCACAGCCTCTCCAAACATGGTTAATGCAATCCAGAAGCAGAAGGAAAGAATTGTCCTTTGGGTAGGCTCCTACAGAGTGATGGCCTCTGAAAGGCGGTTCGCTCTGTCTTGTACACCTGGGGGCTGTGAGGAGAAGGGGGCGTGCAGGGAGACACCAGCCTTTCCCACGCTTCTTCTACCACAGAGGACACAAAAGGTGGTTGCAAAATCCACATTGTTTTGCACCCACTGTCTCTAGCTTCTGTTGTGCAAAGTCTGTCGCAATCATTCCAAGGCAAGAACTCCTTAAATATCACTCATTGTCATATTTCACTCTAAGAGGGCTTTTTATCCCCAGCTCACCAAACTCTATAAAAAATAAGTTAATTCTCAGAACCCAGGAAAACAATGCTGATGGAAATTGCAAATCCATCAGACCTTACCCCCAATGTTTTCTCATCCTTCACCAGCCATCCGGACCATTCACAAGTGTACTGAAGTCAGCACTGACTTCTTTGAATTCTTAATTAAGAGTTCCTTTGGCCTAAGAAGACATTGCAAAGTGTTTACTCAGTGAATGAATTGACATGCACTTGCTGACGTTTTCTCTGTCTCTGACTCATTTGACTGTGGACCAGTCGTTCGCCATCCCTGAGCCTCAGTTTCCCAATCGGTAAAATGATGAAGGTGGATGACATGCTTGATTTTTTTCCGGTTCTATTCAGTTTTCTGATTCCCAAGAACTGGGAGGTGGAGATGGGCAGAGGAGCAGACAAACATTTGTTGAACCCTTATTAGAAGCATCGTTTTGTTTTGGTATCACTTCTGTTCTGGAAAGTATGACTCAGAGAAGCAGGGTTAGTGAGAACATCAAAGCAATAAACGGCAAAATCCCACTTTGTCTTCCCCTGAAAGCCATTCTCTGTTCATTGGGCCAGGCACTCTTAGGACACAAAAGGAAGTTGCAAGACTTACCATGTGTGAGCCTTAACTCAGGGAAACAGTGAAGGCACAGGGCTGCCTGGCTTGGCTATGAGCTTGGACCACGTTCCAATGGGCCACATCCCAGGAGACAGGGCCGCTGGGCTGTAGGATCTCCTCCTGAATGCCCCCAAGGGGGAAAGGCCAGCAGCTGTTCATGGGGAGTAGAAGAGGCATTTCCCAAAACAAGCCAGACTCTGAAAACTGTGCAAACACGTTAACACAAACAGATGAGACAGGAAAAATAAGCAACAACTGTAAAAAGCCATGGGATATTTTTCTTCATTCTTGAAATTACCAAGGTCAACAGCACCATTTTTTATAGCACGAATTTCAGCTGGTGGCAGTAGGAACATCCAGATTGACACTCAGCTGACTGCCAAGTCCTGAAAGGTGCTGTTCCCTCCCTCCCTTCCACATCCTTGCCTCTCCTCCCTCCAGCTCTCCCTCTCCTTCTCTACTCCTTCTATTCTCCTTTCTCCTCCCCTCCTGCCTCTATTTCCACCCCCTCCAACCTCCCCTTTTCTCTTCCTCATTTTCCTTCTCTTCTCCTGAGAGCACTGTGATATCCAGGGGGCTGCCAGGGGAGAAGCGTTCCTTTAGCAAAATCAATTCAGGCCGTGTGTTCTGACCTAGATTCAAGGGTCTCCATTCCCTGTGGTATTTGGTATAAATTCAGAGGCCCAAGAAAACAGCTTCAGATTTCAAGTGAGAGGTCCAGTTGTGGAATTCTAGCCAAATCATAGCTCCACATCAAGTGCAGAAAGGAAAAAATAAGAGGGGGAGGTATACCTAAGACACTTCTTCAATAACAAAAATTACAGTTATGATGCTGAGTCTCTCCTGTGCCTAACACACATGCGCAGACAGTACACTCATTGCTCATGCCACATCCTTCCATCCTTGTGTTTCTAAACAAAAATTGAATCATTGATTAGCAAATTCAGACATGTATACAGACAATTAACTTGCTTCTTCCCCTCTTCTTCTCTTCTACCTTTTCTTTTTTTCCTCCCTCCTGCCCTTTGTTCTTGCCTTCTTAGGGGGAGGCATTCTTCTCTCTCCCTCCCTCTCTCCCCTTTATTGTTTTATATTCTCTTTCTTCCTTTATTTCTAACATTCTGGCCTCTTGAGACAGGCTTTTCTATAGCTCTCTTTAGGAAGGATAACTTTGTGGGTGGAAATAAGTTCTTCCTTTGACTGGATTAACTCTTTCTAGGCAGGGATGTTTGCAGGATATGCCTACAAGTTTGTATGGAGCTAAACATTGCTCAGTCTGCCATTGATAAGGCCCCTGGTTTGAAATATCCCTTAGGAGGACCATTTAGGAATTCATGTGTAGGATTTGAAACCCACAGTGAAGCTGCTCATTGCCAAACTCAGTGGACTCACATTGCAGCCTGTAACCTCATCCACTTTATCCAATCCACAGAGGAATCAGTATTTCTTAGCATATGGATTAGAAATCGCTGGCCTGAGGGGAATATCTGCAGAATGAAATGACTGTATCTAAGCACATGTGTGTCTATGATCATGATAGATATGTCTAACTATGTATGGAGAAAAAAACATATTTTATATAGATATATATCTTAGAACTATATACAGTTAGAACATATATATGTGTGTATATATATAATATATTCACATATATTTATTCACATATATATAAAAATATTCACATATAAAAATATATATATATACTTAGAACTATATATATGTAATGGAGAAAAGAAAAATGCTTCTCCATATACATATATATAGAGAGAGAGTGAAAGAGAGAAGAAAAATGCTTTAATATCTAATTATCTGTTTATTACCTTTACTCTGGTGTGAGAATTTGACCTTAACAAAACAAAACAACAACAAAAAACCAAAATCTGTGTTCTTCCATTGAGTCACCTTTCTCCCTTTGTAGAAGTACTTAGCTCCCTCCACCTTCCCTTGTAAATCTTACTGATAATCCATTGCTGGTTAATCTCTTCTCCTTTCCCCTCCCCTCCTCGCCCTTCCCTTCCTTTCTTCTCCCTTTCCTCCCTTTGTCTCCCCTCCCCTCCTCTCTTTCCTCTCCTCTTCCCTCCTCCCTTGTCTTCCTGCCCCTTCTCTCCCATTCTCTCCCTCCCCCTCCTCTTTGCTCTCATCTTCTCTCCTCTCCTCCTACCCTCTCCTCCACTCCCCTCTCCTCTCCCCTTTCCTTTCACCTCCTCTCTATTCCCCTCCCCTCCCTTCCCTTCTACTCTCCTCCCCTCCCACCACCTCCTTACCTCTCCTCTCTCCTCTCCTCTTTTCCTATCTTTACAAAACAGAGTTTTGTTTTCTTGTTTTGATTTTTGTTTTTGTGTTTCAGAAAAGACAGGGCTGTGTCATGGAGTTATTTGGGAGGGTCAGTTGGGGTGATGTTTACCATCTTCTGAAAGTGTGTTCACACAACATTTACCAGCCAACAGGGAAACAAAATAAAGAGCAGGGACTTCGTGGACAAGTTAAGATATCCACTACAATTTTGTCCTAGGATGAGTGATAGAAAATTTTAATTCTAGTTCCTTGTTCTTGACAGCAATAAAGCTTTCACTACCACAAGTAATTGCTGTGCAGTGGCAAATAAAGTGATATAGGTGAGGTATCATGACCAAAGCCTCACACACATTTCCTCCCTTTCCTATTTGAAAGCCAAGTGTAGATAGACATGCTGAAAAACCAGGGATGCCTTACTCCTTGCAGTACGTTTCAGACGGCAATGGTCCTAAAAATGTTGTATGAAAACATGTCATCAGAATTTGTAAAGTGATGATACCTTAGCCCTTTTTGGAAATCTTCAGCATGCGTTAAAACTTCCAAAGTTCAGAGAAGCCCTGAAATAGATAATGGGACATTCATCATTCCCATCTGATAACAGAACCTTTTGGACAGGTGATCTGAGTGAATATTTTTCTTGTGTAAAATGGAGGAAGACAGAGAGCGAGCGTGTGCAAGAGAGAGTCAGACATCTTCTCATGAAACTCCTTTATTTTGAAAGCATTCTTCATAAACTGAATTCTGTTCTGCAAACATTAAAAGCCATCCAGTTTTGGATCGATGCTGCAGCTCCTCACTCTGCCTTAGGCTCCCTCTCTGCCTACACTGGCATACAGCTCTTCCTTTAGTTTTATCCAGATCTTAATTCAGATGATCTTTGCCCGTGGATCCTTGCATGTCTTGCTGTCCCATCCATCCAATGGATACCCTTCATAATATCAGTATCCTTATTGCAATGGCCTCTTTAGTTACTTTTCCTTGGCATGTAAACTGCCTCTTGAAACACACTGGTGACAGCCTCCTAATTTCTCTTTCTCTTCACTGTAGCCTTGTTGTGTAGAGTTGTTTGCCACTCAAATTCTGTTAAATATGCACATGAGTAGATAACATTTCACCTGTTTTAAATTTGAGATAAATTATTCTATTTTTTCCACTTTACAGATGAGGAAATTGAGCCTTAGGATGTTATGTATATTTTCAGAACCAAATGACTGACAAATGATAGAGCTGAAGCTTGAATTTTGTTGTGCAATAGATAAACTTTATAGTTTTACTCTCTAGGAAATGAAGTATTTCTGTGTTTTTCATTTCTGCAAGATAAAATCTGTAAGAACAATTGGAGAATATACTGTCATTACCTTAACAGCTTCGTAACCCACAGAAGAAAATCATCTTTCCATCTTAATCTTCATAAGATTTCAGGTGCCTCCTGGGAGTGCAAAGGGAGAATGTCCAAGGCACAAGGTGCAGGTCAGAAAACAACTTTGGAGATGAGATTTTACAGAGTAAATTCATCAAAATTGGAATCATGTGACTCATTCTCCTAGCTTCTACAGGAACTAACGGATGCATTGTTTGGAGCCAAAGCCCTCGTGTAGGTTTCATCGTTTTAACCTCTGCCAGGAGCAGAAAAAAGAGTGGATAATAGAAATATATTAGCATTCCAAAAGTTAGGGATATGCCAAGACTATACCCCGTGAGGGACTGAGACCAAAGAATGAAACGCTTTCCCCTTTCTGGGTATTTCCAAAGGTGAATTTGTCTCTGATATGATTTGGAAGCTTTTGACTCGTCAGTGTCTTCCACTTGATTTCTCAGTGTACTTAGGATCAGTATGTGGAGTATGGTGATGAATGAGTGCATCCTGGTAAAACACTCAGCAAGACGTCCTGAGACTGGCATCAAGAAAAAAAATATCATGACATTCTTCTGAAGCTGGTTTGGCCAACATTCCTCTTTGTCTCCCACAGAAAAACAGGAAATAAAATCCTTAAGATTCTAGTTGCGCGTCTAGCCATCTGTGCACACTGCAGCCAGGTGTTGGGGAAGATACAGTCAGAAAAGAAAGTCAGAAAAAATAGCCCCCATGGAGCTTTCAGTGTTAGGAATTAGCATACCTACCTCTGTAGAACACTCCAGAGCCATTACAGGGCACTAGTGCAATTTTTATCCTGCCATTTAGGAAAGAACTGCTATGTAAGACATTTTTATGGGCCACACAAGGTACAGTGAAATGAAACAGGCAGTATCTCCATGCTCAAGAAACATGTTCTAATTCAGAACCATGGGCAAGATCACCCGTGTGGACACTGGGCTCATGCATCTGGGTGGGAACATACACAAGTCACTTATCCTTGTTGATCCTCCTTTTTTCCAACTGTAAAATGATTAACACTTACCTCACAAGGTTGCTGCTGAAGGGATGTGAGCTCATATATGCATACGCAGTGAATAGTAACTCATGTTACTGAGTTTCTGCTTAATCATAAGGTTAGGGAAATGATATTTGAAGCACAAATTTTTCATGGTACTTCTGTTTGCTTCTTAAGGATTCGTGTTCATTACAGTACATAGTGGGAACCTGGGACCTGTGTTTTCAATATATCCAGGAAAAGGCAACAAATTTAGAGAAAGAGAGGCAGTAGAAGGTGAGGCAGTTCTCCCGGGCGTACAAGGAAAGGCTTCCTATGGAAATGTACACACAGCTGAGTTTTTAAGAATGGACAGAATTCAAATGGGCTAAAGAATGGAAACAGCAGTTTCAGCAAGATGCAAGGCAGGATGTCTGTACAATTCACTCGCATTCTGTAAGGCACTTCATAGTTCATAAAAGATTTCTCCATGCATCACTTCATTTGAATCTCACGGCTCTATGATGTTGACTGTACTGAAGTTCGGAGAGATAATGCACCTTGCTTACATAACCAGGCATAGTTGTAACATTTATTGCATACATGATGTATTATGATTACACTCTACAGTTTTCCTGAATTAACTGATTGAATTCACATAATGACCCCAAAAGGTGGGTACTCTCAAAAATTACTAAAAGAGGGCCCGGCCTGGTAGACTAGCGACTAAAGTCCTTGCCTTGCATGCACCGGGATCCCATATGGATACCAGTTCTAATCCCGGTGGCCATGCGTTCCATCCAGCTCCATGCCTGTGGCCTGGGAAAGCAGTCGAGGATGGTCCAAAGCCTTGAGACCCAGCACCTGAATGGGAGACCCAGAAAGAAGCTCCTGACTTCTGGCTTCAGATCAGTTCAGCTCTGGCCTTTGGGATCACTTGGGGAGTGAATCAAGGGATGGAAGATCTTCTCCTCTGTCTCTCCTCCTCTCTGTATATCTGACTTTGTAATGAAAATAAAATAAATCTTTTAAAAAGTTACAAAAAGACTAAACCTTGTGCTTGGCAGATAATAAATACTTCCTATGGAGCAGATATTAAGAGGCCTGCATCCAACATCAGAATTCCTGTGTTTGAAGCCTGATGTCTGCTCCTAACTCCAGGTTTTGTTAATTGAGAGCCTGGAAAACAACAGATGATGACTTAAGTAAATGGGGCCATGTAATGACCTGGGTTACATTAAAATCAACTTTGGCCTGAGTCCAACCCCAGCATTTCCAGAATTTTGGGTAATGAGCAAGTAAATGCTCTCTCTCTCTCTCTCTCTCTCTCTCTCTCTCTCTCTCTCTGTTACTGTCTGTGTTCCTGTGCATTTCAAATAATTTTAACATTGTTTATGACAGTTATTACTATCTCCATTTCACAAGTGGGAAAACTGAGATTCAGAAAAATCTCAAACTTTATAACAAACAAAACTTTCAAGTAGCAAGATTTGAATCCTGATTTATCTGTTTCCACAGTTGGTGCTACTAATGATCAACTTTATCCACTACCTCAAGGATAGTCTTCCCTCCAGCCAGCATTCCATTTGTTCCTCAGTCTTAGCCTTCTGAACTTTCTTGGAAGAGAGGTTCTTGGTCTTTATGTTCCAGCTGGAGGGCTGGTGTCCTGTGAGAAAGCTTCCTCTCAACCTCTTGTTTCTTGCTTCCCAAGCTGTGTTCATTTCATGTGTGAAGCCACTGACTGTCCAGAGCTGGCTGTGGAGAATGCTTCTCTCAATTGCTCCACCAATGACCGCTACCATGGTGCCCAGTGTACTGTGAGCTGCCAGATGGGCTATGTTCTGCAGATACAGCGAGATGATGAGCTCATCAAGAGCCAGGTATGTATCAATGATGCACTCAGAATCCTTTTCCAACTCCGTAAGGCTAAATGAATATGGGACAGGTTCTCTTCTGGAATCCCAGAACTTAAAATTGAGTTATCAAATACTAGATGCTTAATAAATATGTATTGAATCAATCATAACCTCTAATAGAATACTTTCTGCATAGAACAGCATCCCATACAAATGCTTATCAGTGTCCGTAGAGCTTGCACATCTTCAAGATCATGCAATGAACCTTTAGGAATAAAACTCTGACAGCCAGACCTCTGCCATAATTGGACATTGTTTGTACAGGACGATCTAGATATGAGCCCTCTGTCAATTGGGTATGCATTCGTTAATTCATCGTAAATCAGATGCTGTATGGGCTGCTAGAGAAAAAGCAATCATTTAACGTAACCTTGTCCCTTCTCTCAAGAAGCTAGGTCATTAATGGGCGAGATAAGGCAGATAATTCACAAGTAAGAATGTCCTTGTAAAGGGATGTATATATGTGATAAAAGCAAAGGGAAGTAATTGGAAGGTACCAAAGAAGGAGTAACTTAAAAATTAAGAACCAAACACAGAGGCAAAGTGATGTGCAAAGGAGAGAAGGGATAAATACTTGTATACTTCAAAAATTTGCACAAAAGTAAGCTTCTTTAATTCCTTATTTCCATAAAGCTTTCAAAGCACACCTATGCAGTTTGCGAAGATGGCTGAGTATGATGTGCAGGGCCAATGCAGAGAAAGAACTTGCTGTAGACAAAGACAGGTGATGAGGTTTGAAGGGCAGGTTTGGTCTACTGGTACAAGACCCTACCAGCTTATGAAGTAAGTGTGGGATTTATCTAGGTAACAAGGAGCAGAGGAAGGGTGTAACAAGATCAGACCCTAACTAACAAAGACTCCTCCGGCTACCCACACGGGTGTAACTGGGAGTATAGCAGTAAGATTGGCACAAAGGAGGCCCTCAGGAAGTCATCAGGGAGCTCCTAAAAGATAAACATGTCCTGCACACAATGAATGGCAGTGGTTGGATTTGAACAATGTGGCAGAATGTTGCTTCACCCAAATGTCACTATGAAAACCCAAGTGAGGCATGGGAGGGTAGGACAAGATGGTAGTTAAAAAATTCTTCACACCCTGGAAATTTAAGGCTCCCATAGTTCTATTAGTGCATGTGGCTTTTCCTGGTGCCCACCCAATTGACTTGGCCTTCATACTGCAAACATGAAGGGCACATTCCTTACTGCTGGAAATGCCTATTTGTGCAGTTTCTGGGCTTACTTGTCTTAGACACCTATTTCCGTGTCAGACGTGACAGGTCTGAACTCCTGTGGAAACAATTAGACTATTTTGGCATCAGGCGACCTCCAGTCCCTTTGATGTGTGCTTAAGGGAGGGAAAATGTCCTTTGGTATTAAAGCCCCAGAACAACATTTGGCTGGCCAATCCCCTGGGGTGTGATGGCTTCCTCCTTGAATGGAAGCCTCCAGGCTGCTGCTGATGGTCCTTCTCTTGGCTTCAGAGCATGGGCTCACCCTACCACCTACCCAGCCTTACCATCTTCCACTTTGGTTCAAATTCCTGTAGAAGGTTTTTTCTCAGTCTTGTTCTTTCATGTCTTTTTCTTGACTATTGAGGTTTCAAGTTCCAGAACAGGGAGTGCCTCCTGGAGCAGTTTCCGGGTCGAATCCATTGTTTTGCCAGTAAGCTTACCAGTAAGCTCACATAAGAAAAGCAAATTCTATAGATCTCATAACAAGGAAGACAGATATCCCAAGACAGCATACACCCTACCAAGCACTACGACAGGCTCCTGAACATCTCCTTTGGAGCCAAGGAAAGATAGATAAGATCAGTACTCACTAACCTACCATTGCTTTGTGTAAGAAGTCATCATGCCCTGTAGATGTCTCTGAATCTCAATATTCTCGTTAGCAAAACAGGAAGGAATAGTGACTTACGAGACTCGATAGGTAAGAGTTAAGGGTGTTGTCTTGGAGTTCTAGTTCCACTCAGTCTCTTTACTGGGTAAGCTAGGTCTCTGAACCTCTTTATCTTTAGGTAAGAACTGAGTATTAGTATTTACTACATGCTAAAGCTATATTTAGTCCATCAAGTTGTTGGAATCATTAATGGAGGGAGGGTAGGTTGGAAAGTATCACTAAGCTCCCAAATCTGTATTGAAGTATGTAAGAAATGTGTCTACTTTATACAGATGTCTTTTAGAAAGCATGTCAAAGTTAACCATTAGGCACTGGTCTAGCACATGGACAGGACTCTGAAACGTTGTCTGAGGGAGAAGGATCTGACATCTCAGTTTCTGTTTGCCATTGCTCATGGTGCCTATCTCTATCTTATAGGTGGGGCCGAGTGTCACAGTGACTTGCACAGAAGGCAAGTGGAACAAGCAGGTGGCATGTGAGCCAGTGGACTGTGGCCTCCCAGACCACCATCATGTCTATGCTGCCTCCTTCTCCTGCCTCGATGGCACAACTTTTGGCCGCCAATGTTCCTTTCAGTGTCGTCACCCTGCACAGTTGAAAGGTAATGTGAATCTTTGATGCCCCTCATCTCCTCTTTGTCCGTGGAACACCCAGAGGCTGCTTTCAGGCCTTCAAAGTTTCGGGTGCAAGAGTTAAGTCAGATTTTATTTGTACTCTTGACCTTTTCCTACAAATTATATTTACATAAACATCCTCTTTTGTGATGATCTAAAAATAAGAGTGATAGCGAGATCCCCCACCCCAAGATGCTGCAGATCTTAAAAATAAAAGAGAAGCAGGCTGGGAAATAAGATGTGAGTAGTTCGCTCGGTATGATTAGGCTCTCTCTTAGGAGGTAAGTGTGATTAGTATTTGCATTTGCTAGAGAAGGAATCCAAGCTCTGAATATTTGAAGGACTCACCCACAGCTTCCTTATTAATGGTTGGGACTGCACTGGAGCCTGGATCTGTCTATCTCCAACACCAAATGTTTCTCCAAACTGGGGCTTGGCAGGTGGTGTTGGAAGGGGAAGCGAGAGTGAACAGGAACCATTTGGTATCCTACTGGACAGGGCACCCAGGGTATACAGGTCAATAAAAGAAAATCTGGCATATTAGATAAGAGGAAAAAAATTGGGACTAGGTGAGAGACTGATCTGAGAGTCCTAGCCAGTCAAGAACAGAGTTGTTCTTAGAGTCTAGTGGGAATAATTGGACTATTGAAAGCACTGGGTATCCTAAATCTAGCAAGTCAAGGAATCTTAAATCCAGCAGGTCAAGGAACCCTAAGTCGAGTAGGTCAAGGATTTTTATAAAGCCACAGAGCAAACTAGCACTACTTTCAGAACAAAAGCTTCTGGTTTCTAGTAGAGTCCATATAGAATTTCATTATCCCAATTTTCAGAAATGTCAGAACCTTCTTGTTTGTTCATCAGAGGAAATGTTGGCCATTATCAAATATCCAAAATAGTTCTTGTGAATATCTTCATCTCTCTCCATTCTAAATCGTCATAGCAATTAAAAAAAATGATTATAGGTTTTAATTCACATTTTCCTGTGTTAAAAATGATTTGCAGGTGGAAGTTGTGGTTCTGCAAGTTAACTGCTGCCTTCAATGCCAGAATCTCATATGAGTATACTAATTCAAGTCCTAACCCTCCACTTCTAGTCTAGTTCCCCAGTGTTGTGAGTGACAAAACAGTGGAAAATGACCCAAGGGTTTGGCTTCCTGTTGTTCACATGATAAAGAATATCAGACAGCAATTCAGGCTCTTAGCTTTAACCTGATCCAGCCTTAGCCACTCTCCGTGCCCTTTTGCATAGTAAACCAGCAGATGGAAGATCTCTCTCTCTCTCTCTCTCTCTGTCCTTCCCTCCTTCTTTCCCTCAACCCTCCTTCTCTGTCTCTCTTTACTTTCCCCATAACTCTGCCATTAAAATAAATGGATACATCTTAAAAATTATTTGGATTGGAGTGACATGTGGAGATCAGTGGAAATTGTAAACCTTCTTACTTTTAGACAATCCAAGACTGCTTCTTGGTCCCATTTGCCCAAATATGGGATAAATTAATGATTCCATACTAGAAAATCACGCTGTTCTCCATCTGAGGCCCTTAGGAAAAGGGGAATGTGTAAATTAGCACTGCTTATTATAGCATCATGAGTAATAATAAAAATGATGCAAGCCCTTGTTGTGATGCTTCTCAGCTGACTGTGGTTGTAAGGAGCAGATCCTACAGAAGAGCTAAGGCCTTGATAGTCGTTAATTCCAGTGTTTCTCTTCCCTTGCAAATGCAGGGAAGCATATCTCTGTAGTGATGACCCTGCCAGAATCAACTGCCATTCATACCCTTCAGTTACCAGCATCGCTTGGCTTGGATCTGCTGGCAGCAAGGACCGGGCAAAGCAATCTCTTTCTTTCTTGAGCTTGTTCATGCCATCTCATTCACCTCCATTCCCAAGCCAAGAAATAGAGAAATAATTGAAACAGGTTTTCTCTGTTCTTTTCTGACTTTGTGCCCTTTCCTCCACTCACTGCTTTTCCTTTCCTTATATCATGGTATAAGCAAAGAAGCAAATAACTTTAGAATCAGGAAAGACCTAGTTGCACTACTGGCTCTACCCTGCAGACTGCTTAAACCTGGGTGAGAAATGTGATATTTAGGACCCTCAGGAGCATTATCAATAAAATAGGCTTAAAAGTGCCCATGCTGAAGGGTTACATGGAGGATTAAAGGTAATCATGTATATTAGTAAACGCTCATTTTCTCCAAGCAGCATCACCATAATAAACTGAGCAGTGCCGATCTTTCTGTGCTATGAAGTCCTTAACTTAGTACCGTGAAGATTTGTTCCATCTTCCATGTTCCTTTCAAACCATGGACATGGGTGTTTTCAAAGGTCAGTCACCACCCAAGATGATTGGTTGAATTTAGTCCCTAGAAAGTTAGTGCACTGCAGGCAGCTCCACAAACACACTTGCCACTTACACTCCAGGTGAGCTTCTACTGTCTTGACTTTCCTTATACTTCAATCTCTTTTAAAGATTGATGAAAAAGTCCTGAGAATGTTCAATCTTACAAAAATTGTTTATTTGAAAGTCAGAGTTAGAGGGAGGCAGGGAGGAGTGAACAAGAAAATCTTCCATCTGCTGGTTCACTCCCCAGATTGCTACAACAGCCAGGACTGAACCAGACTGAAGTCAGGATTGAGGAGCTCCAACCAGGTCTCGTCTCCCAGGTGGTGACAGGGGACCAAGCACTTGGACCATCTTCTGCTTTTCACAGGTTATTCTTGGGGTCTGGATTGGAATGGGAAGGCCTGGAATTCAAAGCAGTGCCCATGGTGGGATGCTGGTATTGCAGACAGTAACTTTATCCATTACACTGCAATAATAGATTCCTACTCACTCCCCTTTTAAAGATATCTTATTATTTATTTGAAAGAAAAATTTACAGACAGAAAACGGGAGACAGAAAGAAAGAGAGAATTTTCAACTGCTGATTTGCTCCCCCAGATGGCTGCAATAACCAGCACTGGTACACGCCAAAGCCAGGAGCCAGTAACTTCATCAGAGTCTTCCATGTGGGTGACTGGGTTCCCAAGCATTTGGGCCATCTTTTCAGTGTTTCTCAGACCATTATGAGGAAGCTGGGTCAGAAATGGATCAGCTAGGACACAAACCATAGCCCATATGGAATGCTAGTGTCATAGGCAGTAGCTCTACCTGCTAAGCCAAAACAATGACCCCACAATTCACCATCTTAAAATCACTTTTGCCAAGATTCTTTTTAAATGAGCATAGTAAGCCCTGAGCCTGCTGTGTATCTGTGTGTGTGTGTGTGTGTGTGTGTGTGTGTGTGTGTGTGTGGAGAGACTTACATGTAAAATGATAGACAACTTCAAAATGTTAATAGCTAAGAATGAAACATTACTTCCACCACTAAGGCAGCTCCAACTAATTCAACCACATCAAGTGCATTTAACATTTATTATGAAGTAGGGCTTCTAAAATAAGAATGTCTCCATTTTACAAAGCTCTTTTAAAAAGGCCTGCTTTCTACTTTTAGCTCTTACTGCTGCCTCTCCCAGTTCAACTTCGCCTGTTTTACATCAGTGTGTTCTCTAGTTTCTATTTCCAATTCCATCAAGCATTTTCTGATCTCTTGGACTACTGAAAAGGTTGAGAGTTGGGTTGAAATGAAGAGTGACCGCATCCTACAGTGATCCACAATAGGCTGTTTGCTTGTCCTAAATAATCTAACTGAAATTCCCCCGTCTCTGCCTGCATGGTAGTGTCAACATGTCAGCCTCTTTCATCCTTCTCTTAAGAAGTATACTCCATCAGCCAACCCTGAAAATGACTGCATCTTAGAACACGTAATTTCCCTCATGTCTAACAGTTGGAATGATACGTGCAAAGAGATTTGGAAGCAGAGGACAACTTAAAAAACAAAGCAAAGGTGATGAGGAGAATGATGTGTTATTATTCTGGGGCTTGTCCTTGATGCCAAGATACTCTCCTGATCTAAATTCCTGATGAAAGATTTTCTCTGAATAACAGTACTTTGACCATGTTCGTCAGTAAGCATCACAGATCTCAACTGAGCCCCTAACCCTGGTTCGAACAACAGTTTGACCCTCCAGTGTCTCAGTTTTCCCACCTACAAAATTGGTTTAATGATGAACTGAGTTGCTAGGAAGCAACAAAGAAATAAACTCCGTTTACTTTTTAGGTCTGTCCCATGAACTCAATTCTCAGATAGCCTTTGATAGAATTCATTTCAGAAATTTAGAAAACATTCAGGCAATGAAACAAACAAAATGTGACCTGATTTTCCTCAAACTGGAGCTGGAAAGAGGATGGTTCTACTGAACAAGCAGTGTTCCTCTGCCCTGCCAGCCCCAGCCCTAGTGAGCTCTTCAAGTCTTCAGGATTGTAGTAACCTCGCAACGGACTTTCACAACTGACATCAGCAGAGGATCAAAGGCTGTTCTTGGTGGCTCCATTTCTTCTACCTCAACTTCTCCTTGACTTCTTGAAGTTCCAGTGGGCTATTTTTAGGACAACAACCAGACTGAAATCTTATCTGTCCATACTTCTTGCCCCGCCTGGCCCTTTCCTCTTTCTGTGCCTCATATCCTTTTAAAATCTTTTTCTATAACATGTTTAGCTTATTCACTATCAACAGGCATTGAAATTGAGTTTCCTTGCAATCCCACCAGTGCAAGCCCTTGGCTAATGTAGATTCCAAGTACTTGCCTATCCCAAGCTTTATTTTTCTTTTCTATGAACACCAAAGTACGCAATATCACTTACTTTCTGAAAAACGGGAAAATCTCAGCGATGGCTTTGGTTTAGGGATGAATGTGTTAGATGCCTCAATTAGAGTCCCAAGAAGATTCATAATATTTTATGCAGTCAACTAATTAGGTATCAAAGACTTCAACGTTTGATAATAAGTGGACATAAGAACAAAGGGTGAATAAGATATAACCCCTTGCCTTATGATCCAGGCAATATTAACAATAGGCTGAAGATCCGATACGGCTCTTTTGGGGTACTGTCCAATATAAATTTCAATGACTTAAAAATGTGTATATTGTAATTTTACAAATACATGGGGCACAGTATGTTGATTTGATGTGTATATATATTGCATAATGATAAAATCAGGATAGTCAGGGAATTCATGATTTTTAAAAATCCATTTTTCTTGTGATGAAATTAACATTCATAATTTTCCCTTTTAGCTATCAGAAACACAAAAGATATTATTATTGCCAACTGCAGCTGCCCCACTGCGTAATAAATAAACCATTGTTTTCCTTATAGGTGCTCTGAAAGAGACTTAGCCTGCTAAGTGATCTTTTAAATGAAATAGCAATATTGTTGTTGGTATTGTTACCAGTTAAAAATTATTTAGTGATAAGAATTGTGGTGCAATAGGTTAGTAGCCATTTGCAATGCCAGCATTACATATTGAAGAACTGATTCAAATCCAGCTCCATTTTCAATCCCAATTCCTACTAAGGTACCTAGAAAAGAAGTGGATGAGGGCCTAGATGCTTGGGTCCCTGGTACATATTTGGGAGACCTATATGGAATGCTAGGCTCCTCATTTCAGCATCTGTTTCTATGGAATCTCTCTCCATCTCACACTCCTTGACTCTCTTTCCCTCACATTTTCTGTCACTCTGCCTTTAAAATAAATAAATCTTCTAAAGATAGCCTCATATCTGTTAGAGATTGAAATCTTCTTAGTGACAACTGTAGCAAGGAAAAGGAAGATTTACTTTTCTGATTTTAAAAAATACCATGAGCTCTAAACCCGGACATGTCTTCATCCTGTGCCCTGAGTGGTGTGCTGCCAAGAAACGTGGGTAGACGCTTGAGGACAAGAAAACTAGAGTTGGCAAATATCAACAATATTATCTTCTTTCATTTTGCTTTTAAAGATTTATTTTAAATTTTATTGGAAAGGCAGATTTACAGAGAGAAGGTAAGACCGAGAGGAAGATTTTGCATCTGCTAGTTCACACCCCAAATGGCCACAGTGGCCTGAGCTAATCTGAAGCCAGGAGCCAGGAGCTTCTTCCAGGTCTCCTACACTGGTGCTGGGTCCCAAAGCTTTGGGCTATCCTCAACTGCTTTCCCAGGCCACAGGCTGGAAGCTAGAAGAGAAGTGGAGCAGCCAGGATACAAACCGGTGTCCATGTGGAATCCCGGCGCATGCAAGCTGGGGACTTTAGCCAATAGGCTACTGCGCTAGGCCCCAAAAGATTATCTTCTAAAGCTGGTTACTTACCATTATGGGCAACTAGAGCATGGTCTCTCTGGGGGAACACTGACAGCCAGTGACATACATGTCTCAGAATCATTGTAGCTCTGGAATCTGGCACAAATATCTGCCAGTGTGATCACTGGTTGAGTGTTGTTTCATGGGCATTAATTCATTGATATTTTGAGTTTGTCCTGCGTCTGGGACAAAGCTTTAGGGAGAGCTGATGAATCTGTTATAGGATAGTGGTCAGTGCCATGGGGCTGAGATAGCGGTCAGTGCCATGGGGCTGACGGAAGGGGATAGCTGGATTTTGTCTCATTCCACCTCCTTCAAAACCACATAGTGCATGCGAGGGAGTAACTCTAGCTAGAGTGTGGAAATATTCTGCTCCACACAGTATATGCATCTCCAGAGTCAGTTTGTTATGGGATTGAAGGACGTATCCATGGTCCTGAATCCCCAGTATCAGAATGACTGTGGTTCCTCACTTGTCTGTGTTGCAGTCAGCTCCTCTGAACGTACCTTTCTGGTTGGCACTTCTTTCTTGATTAACATGGTACAGCTTTAATGTTATTTTGTCACAGTTGATGTGATGTATTTTTAAAGAGTTCCAACATGTTTTTAATGGATATTTTGTGTCTCTTGGACCCTGTGAAAGGGTGACCCCCTCTATCAAGTTTGACCCCTTTCTCACTAAGCTTATTCTATGTGTAAGCATCCTAAAACACCGACCACCCCAATCACAAGAACAATAAAAAAATAAAGAGCTGAGTAGTTCCTGGGTTTCTGGAAGCCTTTTTGCTTCTGTAAAATGCAAATAAGTCACCTTTCACACTCTGTTCTTTTTAGTTGCATGAGAAAATGCTCTTCGCTTATAGATTCATAGTTCATCAGTGTGGAATTATCTGTGGAGTTTACATAGACAATGCTGTTCTGTGCTAATGCGGAGGGAAATGAATGAAGGCAGGAAAAGCAGAGACACACATATGAAATTGTAAAGACTCTCCCCTTTTTCTTTTCCTGTCTTATTTTCTCCATTAAATGCTTTACTTTCTGATTTAATATATTATTATCCGCACTATTCTGTTAGATTATAAGTTTCCAGGTAAAAGGATTATTGATGTCTTGCCTTGTTTTGTTGTGCTTTTACCCTAATATATAAAAAATATCTGCTTATCATGAGATAAGAGAGGAAAGGAAGGGGATAAATCAGGACATTGACAGCATGTTTCATGATTTTTTTTTTATCATGACACATTGGAAGGTAGGAGCACTTGTCTTCTTCCTGTAAGGAAGCTGAGGTTTCCCTCTTCCCAAGAATGTATAACAAGGCCTCTGCTGAGCGAACATAGCAAACCTCCAATTAAAACCAATTGTCTCGGGGCCCAGCGTGGTGGCCTAACAGCTAAAGTCCTCACCTTCAATGCACGATATGCGCTAGAATCCCATATGGGCACTGCTTCTAATCCCGGCAGTGCAGCTTCCCATCCAGCTCCTTGCTTGTGGCCTGGGAAACTAGTCAAGAATGGCCCAAAGCCTTGGACCCTGCACCCGCATAGGAGACCTGGGAGAAGCTCCTTGTTCCTGGCTTTGGATTGGCTCAGCTTGAATCATTGTGGTCACCTGGGGAGTGAGTCATTGGACAGAAGATCTTCCTATCAGTCTCTCCTCCTATGTGTATATCTGACTGTACAATAAAAATAAAATAAATCTAAAAAAAAATCAATTGTCTCTACAGTTGGGCAGAATTGGTTTTGAACCTCAGTTTTGTCTTTTACTAACCATAACAGCCTGGTCCAGTCACATCACCCATGAGTCTCCATTTTGAAATGATAGTTATGATAGGTGCACTGTATTATAAGAATAAATATGATTGCATGTCAGGAACACTCACTCCAGAATAACTGCTTAATACGTGTCATGTCCTTCCCTTTCACTCCACCCATCCAATCTTCACAGCCCCAAACCTCTCATGTATTTCCAGGCCTGGTTGTCAACACCATTCAGTAACCACCAGAAAGAAGAGAGTTTGGTGGAGAAACACAAGTTTCAGGTCCTCCTCTAATTGTGTCATAGAAGTTTGGGGCAGCCTGTGTTTTGATAATGTATGAGCTGACAGTGAAAAGCCTAACTTCCTTGTTTTACTTTCATTTGCAACATTCTCCATCAGGCCGGTTTCCCGATGGCAATCAGCACTTCTGTCAGAGCTGGCACCATCTGCGGGGAAGTGCTGTTCTCTCAGCTGCTTTGGCAAAGCTTCACTGAGTGCTAGGGCCCGAACAGAAAACCAAACCTCCTGATAACATGATGCTGTCACTTCCAGGCATGGGGTAGGGGGGTGGGGTTCAGGCAGGACAGATACAGGTGCCAGGAGCAGAGGGGGAAATGGCAGACTGAGATCACGCAATGGTACCAGAACAAGGAGTAGATTTTGAGAGAGAAGCTGTGCTGTTGGCTATTAGATAGCAAGCACCCTCATCTCTGAGTCAGACTGCCCACCTAGAAAGTAAGCAGCATGGATTGGAGGATGGTGAAGGCCTGTCTCCATACAGTGCAGGTTCAGAATCAAGAGTCAGAAGCAGGATTTCAATTCACCACAGACAGGACATACACTGCCATATGGGTGTTTCTTCTTTGTGGTGGCTGTCTGAAGTCCCCGCCCCATCCTTGGTTCCTCTTTGCTAAGTGAAAGGCATCAGAACATCACAGGAGGGACCCTGTGGTCCTTCAAGTTGTTTAAAATTTTGATTTCTACACAGTAGATCAGGGTCGGACACTACTTCTACCCCCCTGCTAACCCTTTATGTATGTGTTCCCTAGGCAACAACAGCCACCTCACTTGTATGGAGGATGGGTTGTGGTCCTTCCCAGAGGCCCTATGTGAGCTCATGTGCTTGGCTCCACCCCCAATACCTAATGCAGAACTCCAGACATCCCGGTGCCGAGAGAGCAAGCATAAGGTGGGCTCCTTCTGCAAGTACAAGTGCAAACCAGGATATCATGTACCAGGCTCCTCCAGGAAGTCAAAGAAGTAAGTGGGGCTGGAAGCAATCCATAAGCTGTGGGGAGGGGAGTTGGGTCTGAACTCTTGATTGGAGGGAAGCAGTCACTTCTACTCTGGTGGCATTTTTCCCATTTTTCCTCACCATTTCTTCTCTTCCTTTCTGACTTGTGGAAAGCTCAAGGATATTGTTTTGATAACGTTTGGTTCAAGCATAACTACCTTTGAGTTCTGGCTTGTGTGTCTACTGGCTACAAAATCTCACACAAGTGATTTTGCTTTTCTTGGATTCTACTTTTTCAGGAGAAAATGAAGATGATGTTAACAGTTACTGCATAGGGTTGTTGTAAAGAATCAATGAGAATATGCATGTAAAATGCTTGAAAAATACCTTGCACATAGTGGTTGTCCAATATATGGTTCATATTAATATTATTGTGGTGCCAACACCATTCTAAACAGAAGGGAGAGTACAAAGGGCTGGCAGCACTTTTGTTTTGCCTCACCCACATATAACTTGCCCCTGATACAAGAATTCTTTGGATGAGTTATCCTTAATTCCTTTCACAAGACCCTCACCACTACCTGGAACAAGTAGGGATTCAAGAATAGGAAAGAGAAATATAATAAGGCCAGATGTATGCTTTGGAAAGGTGTGAATTTAGTTGTTTGGTTGGCCCCTGGAGCATGCTCTTCTTTTGTCTCCTCTTTGAAGGCGAGCCTTTAAGACTCAGTGTACCCAAGATGGCAGCTGGCAGGTGGGAGCTTGTGTTCCTGTGACCTGTGATCCACCTCCACCAAAATTCCATGGGCTCTACCAGTGCACTAATGGCTTCCAGTTCAACAGTGAGTGTAGGATCAAATGCGAGGACGATGACACCTCCCAGGTAAGCCTCCCCTGACATTTGAGTTGTTATAAGTTAATTCTGGCCTCCAAACCAAAAATCTGCAAGGCACCTTCTTCAACTGTCCCTGTTTCCTCTCTGAACATTGGGAGCAGACACCAGGTCCTACCCATCTTTCCTCTAAGACATCCAAAGCTGTTCTCTTCTGTCTCTACAACAACCACCCAAACACAGGCCACCATACTTCATTCTAGGTTTGCACTTTCTTGGTTATTTACCTGCTCTAGTTTGTGCAGTATCAGAGTGATTTTGTTCAAAATGTAAATCCAACCACAGCAGTTCGCCTGCTGAGAGCCCCTGGTGAGCCAGCAACTGCCATTTCTCCTAGGATAAAATTTTATCACCTAAAGGTGACTTTCAAGTCTTTTATTCATCACCAGGAAATCTGATCCCCTTTTGCCCTCTGCATTCTCTACTTTGGAGAGTTCCCTTACCTTTCCCAGCTGGTTGAATCTTCATTATCCTTCACTCCTCAGCCCAGGCATTTCTTCTTTCATGAACCCTTTCGGATGTCTCCTCCACTTTTGAGTTCAGTAGCAGTCCTCAGGATTACCCTAAAGCATTGTGATTGTACTACTTCCATGTTGTGTTCCAATACTATGAAGTGAAATCTTCCCAGTACCTTCAGCACTCTGGACAGTGCCAGGCACCTAGTAGGTACTTAGGAAATGACAGCTGTAGTAAGACACTGAAATGGGCTTTAGAGAACATCAACATCAATTTCCTCATTTTCCAAATGAGCAAACAAGGATTCAGAGGGGTTATTTGGTCATCCAGGATGGCACAGCTAATGTCACATGAGTCAAATGAGAACCTGGGTACCCCAACTGTAGACAAACTGAGTCAAGTTGGCATACCTGCAAACCCTCAGAAATTTACACTCATGAGCCTCTGTGTGCAGTCCTGAAGGAAGTCAGTCCTGACTGCCAAGCAAGCAGACACTAGTGCCGGAACAAGAAAATGCCAGAGATTATTGTGGTCCTCTCTCACAGGCTGATCAACTTCCCTCTCACTCCCTTGTATAAAATTGTTGCTAGCAGTTGCTGAAACTGCTGAGCCAAATAATATTTTGGCTGCAGTCTTGTTATCAGACTGAAACCCAGTTGCCTGGGGCCTGCCAAGCAACTTTCATGGCTAGTTTGTATTTAAAGGGGAGGAAAATGTAAATGTATCACATGACTCAAGCAGTTCTGTTTGGCAACTCGGGGGAGGTCAGGCTCAAAGGAGCAGGGTATTGTTTGTCAGCGCAGAGAATCAGGGAACGTGTGCCAAATGGGCTCCTAACACAATTGACTTTTCTAGTTTGTACTGAAAATGAATTTCCTCTACCCCCAGACCAGGGGCCTGAGAGCCAAATCTAGTATTCACCTTAGATCCCCTTTTGCTGCCTGTAAACACAGCAGGAGCGTGTAGCCCGGAGCATCTTGAATCAGCTTGTATGGAGCAGGAAATTTTGGCTTTCCAAGCAGTATTCAGATTCTGGCAAGGAAAATTGGGGGCTTTTATAGGGGAAATTCACACACACTCTTTCATTGCCACTGAACAAATAAAACTCCCACTTCATTCATTCTATGGAAGCTCATATGATGCTGGATGTGGAGCCCCGAATTTCAAGTGGTGGTTTCACTACTTGTTAACTAGAGCACATCACTTTTGGGTTTTCGATTTCTCATCTGTAAAATAGAGGGTTGGAATAATGCTACCTATCTTGCAGGTTACAGATGAGGATTAAGTGAAGTAATGAAAATAGGGTATCTCTCTGAGGACCTCCTAATGCAGTGCACAAGCTATGCCACCATGCATGGCAGCATTCCTGCGAACACACATATGAACTATCCTGTCTCTAGGATGCTATCTCTGGGCTCCTTTAGTACCTAGAAACCAAGACAGCAGATTGTCACCTGGCCCTCTACTGGCTTGCTCCAGAAAGTCAGAGACAGGGATACCCAGCACAAAGCCTGGGGTGGGGGTAACAACACTTGAAGAATTGTAGTGGAGTCTGATCTGTTGTTCAAATAAGCAAGTAGATTAAGAGACTCAGCTGACACTTAGAGAGCTGTGTGTGTGTGTGTGTGAGACACGCTCAGTTCTCATGATGATGCTGATAGTGAACTCCATTTCCATCTAACAAAAGAGGCAGGGAAGCTTAGGAATTTCACTAAGTCCACACACCTTAGAAGCTGGAGTGGGGGTTTGGATCTGAGCATTGTGACTGAAAATCATGCTATTGATTATTACACTAACATCATCCAAAACTCACTTTTGCATTTTCTAATTGAACCTACGTGTCCAAATCTTGTAAAAGGAGATAATCTCTACTCTATTAGGTTATAATGCTGTTTTTATAGCTGTTAAACAGTGCATATGCATTAGGTAATTGTAACTATCCCTTCAGTTCACTGTGTATCTATGCAGCAAAAAAATATGAAGGAAGAGTTAGAACAAACATGCTTTTTAAACACTTTGTTTAGTTATTGGAAAGCCAATGAAAGGGCCAGGCAAGATGGCTCAATTGCAAAATCCTCACATTGCAAGCACCAGGATCCCATATGGATATATGTTTGTGTCCTAGTTATGCTGCTTCCCATCCAGCTCCCTGGTTATGGCCTAGGGAAGCAGCAGAGGATAGGTCAAAGCCATGGGACCCAGCACCCACGTGGGAATCTTGGAAGAAACTCCTGGCTCCTAGCTTCGGATGGGTCCAGTTCCAGCCATTGCAGCTACCTGAGGACTAAACCAGTGGATGGAACATCTTCCTCTTTTTCTTTTCTTCTCTCCATGTATCTGGTCTACCTTTCCAATAAAAATAAATAAAAACTTTATATTAAAATGTCAGTGAGAAGCATAGGGAGAGAGGGAGGGTAGAGAGAGAGAGGGAAAGAGAGAGAGAATGCCCTCAGTCCTGTGGTTTATTCCTCAAATGCCCATGATGGCAAGAGCTGGGTCAACTCAAAGTTGAAAACCAGGAACTTAATCAATCTCCCACATGGGTATCAGAGCCTCAGATCCATGAGCCATTGCCTGCTGCCTCTCAGGTGCACCTTAGAAAGAAGCTGGAATCAGGAACAAAAACTGAAACTCAGCCACCTGAAACACATTACAAGCATCCCCGATGACAGCATAACCTCTCACCAGCATGCCTGGCTTACATCATGCTTTTATGCAGACAAATGCATAGACAAAGAACGGCATGCTGTGAAGTTAAAGAATGCTTGTGAGCATTTTTTAAAGAATTCTGCCTTTTTGAAAGGCAGAAAGGAGAGGCAGAGACAAAATAACTTTCATTCTCTCATTTACTCCCCAAATTCTTTGAATACCCGGATCAGGGTAAAGGCAAAGCAAAAGAGAGAGAGAGAGAGAGAGAGAGAGAGAGAGAGAGAGAGAGAGAGAGAGAGAGAAAGAGAGGGAGGGAGGGACTCAAAGGAGCAAAATGAATGATATATGGTCCCACATTATATGGTGGGGCCTCTCCCTTTTGAATTTCCCAAGCAAATTGCAGCTAGTTCTAATATATCTTCCATTGCAACCCAAGCTGTCCAGCCAGCACTGGCCCACGTAGTGCTGAAGTCTGCAGCCTTTTCAAGGGCTGGAGGCCAAGTACATCAGAGAGCCAGGCAAAGGCTGCAGGAAATTGGGGTCAATTTTCTATCCCCCTGAGGACCCAATGGAATCATGGAGCCTGGAGCCTGGGGCTCCAAAAGGGAGAGTCTGGGTTCTCTAAAACCACCTGGAGCTGTATAATTGGCCCTGAGCCTACACCGAACCCAGAGGAGGGCACTTCTCTTATGGCTGCGTGTTCAGGGTGTTCATCCTTCTCACAGGACCAGGGAAACCTCTACAATATTTGAACCTTTCTTTTGCTGTCCCAAAGATATCTAGAGAGCCCCCATTTCTTTTCTTTTCTGAATCCTGTCTTTCTGTATCAATTTTCTCAGATGGGGGTTTCAGACTGTTTCAGTTCTTGTACTGTTGATTCATTTCTTCATGCATGTAGTACATGTCATACATTTCCTCATTGTTTTATCTATTTATTTGCTCACCGATGTGTTTATTTCCTCATGGTTAAATTCATTTCTCTTTTTGCAAAATGTATTCTACCTTTTTCCACCTGTTCACCCTATCCGCAACAAACAGCTTTGGATAGACAGATAGACAGATTGATAAGCAATACCAAAATTAAAGAATGAATAAATAAAGTAGTCAAGTGTGCTGAAAGATCCTAAGGATAGAGATGAACAGAGCACCGTCCTGGGCCTTGAAGGGCTCAACATCTAGTTGGGGAACAAATGATAAACAAAGAGACAATGTAATGCCAGAGACTTTAAGGTAATGCACATGCAGAATTGGGGAAGCTTTATGAAGTGCAAATCATGCCACAGAAGGTGCTTTCCAAGGAGACAAGCAAGGGGGAGAAACACAGCAGGCAGAAGCAATGATGGGCACCAAAGCAGGGCATGTGGTATCTGTAAGGTTGCAGGTCCAGGTAATCAAAGCTTAGGGTTGGTTGTGGTGCTGAGGAAGGGAGGTACCTGAAGACCTATAGAGATAAGCACTGGGACTGTCCTTGTCTTTGGTGCCTGAATGCAAGCATGTGACTGCTGTTCATACAACTGCATGTTCCGTGAGTTCACTGGAGAAAATACTGGCTCTCTTTCCTTTTGTACTTTGCAGAGCCAGACATAGAGTGTCGTGGGAAACAAAATGTAGAATCTGCAGAGGGTTCACAGAAATGAGTATTAAAAATGATACATTTCAAAAATCTTTACAGCAAAATAAACTTGTTTAAAATGTCTTCGTGGTTTGAGATACAAAAAGAGAGAGGATATATTCATCCACTAGGTCACTCTCAAAGTGCTCATAATGGCTAAAGTGGGCTGAGCAAAACTGGGAACTTGGAATTCTAAGTCTCCCACTTGTGTGGCAGGAATGCAAATGCTTGAGCCATCACTGTGATCTCCCAGGATCTCCCAGGATTGGTATCAGCTGGAAGTTGGAGTCAGCAAGCAGCACCAGTGTTGAAACCATACTTAGATAGGAGACTCTTGGCATCTTAATGACTATGATAAATAACCACTTCAGCAAATTTGTTCTCAACCCCATTTCCCACATTCTGAAATATCCTCACATTCCTTGAGTTCAGTGGCAGTTTTGAAACATCTACAAAGAGGACTTCACTGTGAATCTTGAAAGTTGCAAAGAAAACCCTTTGGAGAATTCGTCTTCCAACTGCATTTACCTACTTTATGGAAGACTGAGAAACTATGTTTGATTTTAAAGAATTGGAGGGAGCAGGAAAGATATAAGTTTCCACATGTTATACTTATAGTGCCTTTTTTATGAGAAGGGATTCAAAATGAAAAAGAAAAGGGAGGGAAATCTCAAGTAGAGAAATGCAACTTGAAAAAATTTCTTTATCTGAGCCCCTTGTAAATATCCATGATTGATTCCAATAGGCAGCCAGCCCTTCAGAACAAGTACAGAAGCTGATAGTTTTCAATTAAGAAAAAAAAATAGCAATAACAAGGAACACAAGTGAAAACTGGAACAGTTCTTACTAAGATTGCTAGAAGACCTTAAAGCCACAGCCTAAAAAACCCTGGAGTTGGGCTATGTAGAAAGATCTTTAAGTCACAGCCTAAGAAGCCTTGGGGTTGGGCTGTGTGGAAAGTCTTCAGCAAGTCTCTCTGTGCTCCCTCTGTAAAATGTAGACACTATTTCCTCCTTGAAAGAGGAGGGTGCTTGAGTTTTGATCATAATTAAAATATTATTTTGAAACAGTATTCTAACATAAGGGGAAATAACATTTATCTTGTTACTCTGTGACTTCTCCTGGTATGAGCTGCGTGTTTCTTGGTCCTGATCATGTGTTTGTGTCGCTCAGGGGCATGGGAACAATGTCATTCACTGCCGCAAAGATGGCACCTGGAGTGGTTCCTTCCACCTCTGCCAGGAGATGCAAGGACAGTGCTCGGCTCCGAATCAGATCAACAGCAACCTGAAGCTGCAGTGCCCTGATGGCTATGCCATAGGTACCATGGGCCCATGAAGGGTGCAGTGGGAAGGGGAAAGAGCCCCTGGGAATGTGGGATTAGCGGTGGGGAGGTCATTGAGCACCTCTGTGGTGTGAGGTCCTGCACAGGTGTCAGGGAACAGAAATGACTGAGACTATAGTCTGGCCCCCCAAGAGAACCAGGGACAGGGATATAGCAACAGTGAGTATGACCAGTGGAAGTACAGCAAAACTGTTGAATGCCTATGGCAACACTGCCATCTCCCATGGAAAGGGGTGCTTACACAGGGATTTGAAAAAGCTTGTCAGGCGGAAATGGCATTGCAGGTGGGAAGAGCCAGCTAATCAAAGATCGGGAGATATGAGAGCAAAATTCATGTTTAGGAGAGCCACACAGTCACCCAGTTTGACTTCCTTTCCTCACCAATCTTAAAACTCACATCATAGTAAACACTCAGGAGCACCTGCCATGAGTCAGGTTCTGCATCAGGCTTGAATGGGCAATGTGTCAAGCTTGCTCCCAAATCTTGTCCTATCTAAGGCCAGGCTCTTTTAAAAATCTCAGCTATTAACAAGGATTCTAAATATTGTCTGTACTGGAAAATGACAACTCAAGAAATGCACACAATGTGGGGAGACAACTTGGAATGTGATGCCTGGCGTTGGCCTGGTTGAAACCAGGAGCCTGGACAGATGCATTAATCACAATCTCCATGGTCTCTTGGGAACTTGGAGTGCTTGGAGTCTGACCTCATCTAAGGGCATTGATGCTGACCTCTTTGGGTGATTCTCTAATTGATGGTGATGAAAAGCCCAGGGAATTTAATGTCCTTTCTCATGGCCAATGTGATTTATGGGGCCTTGGCCAGGGATGTCTAGTGCAGAAAATGATCTGATATACACAGGGCCGATGTGTACATCCAGCACGCCAAGAGCTTTCACTGGTTGCACATAAGTCAGGCTAATGTTTGGAGAGTAAAGGTTTGACAACTGACCACTTCCTTTTGAGAGTGAACAACCCTTGAGAGCAGTTCTTCACTTGAACACAGAGCAGGAATCCACATTCTTGGGCATTTACTAATGAATGAGTCAGAAAAACCCAAGAATGTGGCATCTTTGATAAGTCAGAAGATCCCACAAAGCCACCCATCTGCCAAGCTTGTCCAGGAGGAAAGTTTCAGAAAGAGGCAATCTTACAGGATTTGCCAGCATGGCTACTCGGGAAAGCTGGGACAACAGGGGCTGCCATGCTGAATAGCGGTGACCTTTTCATCTCCATCATTTGTATTTGGTGTGCATGGCTGTGGACACATACATCCATGATAAGCTCTGAAACTCAACAAACTCAGGTTGTGCAAGTGAACACTCAGCCGTACTAAAGACTGGCATAGAGTGACCCTCTGAGGAAAAATTCTGATTAAGAGACCTTTATTTAAAGACCTGTCCAAATATTTATTGCATGTCTATGTCCATTAGCACATTCTCATACAACACACTTAAATTAACACATCATAGATAAAAAATACTTCATAATCAACATAACATCAAACACACATCACACACAACACGTATGCCTAGCACCTGAATATCTACCTGGTACCACACAGATGCACCAGACACACACATGGCACATAAATCTACAGGTAGAACACAAACACGGGTTTCAGATCAACCTTTACAACTATCCAGAGAAACAGGGAGAGGTGTGACAGAAAGGTAAAGAAGTCTGTGTGATATTAGGATTGAATTATCTTCCCCTTTCCCCATACTTGCTGCACCATCTTGTGATTCTAGTAATCCTGAGTGGGTGATGGGTGAGTGGGGCTTATAGGAAAACAGGACTTAGAAAGCAATTGAGGGAGACAGTGAGAAGGAAATGGGGAAGGCAGCTGTCTTTCCATTCCTGGCTTCCCTCCCAGGGCCCCTTACATCCACCTCCCTGGCTGGCCCCCTCTCTGTGGAGAGCTCAATTCACCCTGGAGAGAAACAGGATTAAGACATTGAAAGCAGGGTGAGATGTGGACAGGGCATGGGTGGAGCCTGGAGGATGCATCCTGGAGTCACACAGGCCTCTTCACTCCGATTGCTCCCCACACAGCCTGGGGAGGCTGGCACAGCAGCTACCAGCCCTCAGAAAATTACTGCAGCAGCTACTGCTGTTGCTGCCACCATGGCTGCCACCCTCCCTTTGCCTGCCTCCCGGGAAGGAGAGGTGGGGGAGCTGGTGAGATCACCACTCTGTAATGATGCCAATTATGGCTCATATATCACAACACAGCAGCCTGGTCCTGCAGCCCAAGAGCCCAGGCATGGGGGAAGGGAGCCCAGAGCAGGGAGAGGCAGAGGCAGGGAGATGAAACCCGGCTGCTGCAAGGACATCCAGTGCCCCACTTTGGTTTCTTCCAGTTTTTCTTTTTTTCCTTTCCTTTTTTTTTTCTCTTCCCTTGGAATAAAACAGCCTTTATTTATGTCTCAGAGGCTGGATCTTCTGCTTTGTTTGTTGTTGCTGTTGTTGTTTTAAGAAGAATTTCATTATCACAGATTTGTCTCATCTTTGTTCCTTGAAATGCCTTTGGAACCGGTCTCCTGACAAAACATACATCACTGTGTTTCCCAGAATGCTTAGCAATTCTACCCTCTTTGTCTCTTGACTCATCTTTTGACTTCTTGCGTCTCCTGCATTTCTATTCTGTCTTCCGGACCTTCACTCACCTCTGCCCTTTCTGTTGCTGCCAGCTTTCCATTCTCTGCTCTCCATTTAGCTTTCTTGTCCATGGCTAAGCCTGCAAGTCAGGAGGACTGGTCCTCCTCCTATGAGCTTTGTAATTCTCTGGCTCCCTGACCTAGGAAACAGGTGTGATAACACCTGAGTTTCATGGCTGGATTTGCAGGGAAATGCAGTGACATAGGAAAAGCACCTGGCAAGGGAAGGAAGCTCTCACCTCTGGGTTCAGTGTCTCATATTGAAAATGAAGAGTTTCTAATCATTACTCTGGATGGTCATTCTCCCTGAGAGTTTCATAGATGGAAGATGATGATAAAATGGCATCAGAATGGGTGTTGAATAGATTATGTACATATGAACGGCTGGTGTTCGCCAAAGACTCTCTGTGTGTCAAGCACTGGTTACATTCCCTGGTGAATCAACCATATCTTTGCCCTGCTGAAGCAAAACTGAATGTGAAGACAAGATCTAAGGGGGTGAGGTCAGGAGCAGAGTGACACACACAAGTACGCAGTAGAAATACAGAGCAAATCTAATAGACATTCAGAAGATTAAGTACTCTTGTTCAGCTGCAGAAAAGAGGGTAGACTTTTTGGAAGAGTGCAACTGGACTTTAAAGAACTAATGGCATTCGGTCATGGGAAGGTAGATGGCCAAGATAGGGTTTTGTAGGGTGTTTCAGGAGACTAACTAGGTGAGCAGGGTGAGAATACAGAAGAAGGGACGAGTGGGACTTAGATGGAAAACTAAGTTCAGTTGAATGTGATTGGCCTAATAAAAGCATAAAAGTCATTAGTGAGGGAGGGAATTGTCCAGGCCATGGAAGATGTCGAAGGACAGTGGGATGGACTTTAGTTGCACCTGGATAGAATCTTAGAAAGATTTCTGAATATGGGGCTGACCATGGTAAAAGCAGACCCAGGGTCCAGAACATAGCAGTGGGTGAGTCGTAGCTGGATTGGAAATGAGTGGAGCTGGGGCGATGAGAGGTGGCTCTACTAAGACAACTCTCACCTTTCCACTATCATGAGGGAAAAGGGAGTAGCAAAATCCACTCGCTAAGAGGGTGGCTCGTGGACACAAGGAGGCTGGGGGATAAGCCATTGCTTCATCCTATACTTTCCCTCAGGGTCGGAGTGCGCCATCTCATGCCTGGACCACAACAGCGAGTCCGTCATCCTGCCAATAAATGTGTCTGTGCGTGACATCCCTCACTGGTTGAACCCCACAAGGGTGGAGGTAAGTGACCAAATTGCTAAGGGGGTAAGAACTGACACTGCTGAATACTCGCCCTTTCCTGGTGCGAAGTACATCCTTTTGCCTGTATTACTTCATGTAACCATTACACAATAATTTCTTAATCAAGTTTTAATTATTTAATGCTTTTTCTCTGCTAGTTATTGTGTTGAGTGCCTTCTAATTGCTGTTCCACTACTAACTACTGACAGTTTCAGAGCAAGAGTACAACTGGAATTGGTTTACAAATGAGAAATCTGAGATATTGAGTACATACAGACAGGTGTATGTAGCCAGAAAACAACCCCAGGACTGCCCAGGTGGAAGGACTGTGCTCATGAAGATAATGCTATTTATCTTCTCTAGTGCTTTTCATTTCATCTTTTCTAGCATTGTGTGTGGTGTGCCTGTCTGGTAAAAAGATTATGGAGAACCTGCAGATTGGTGCTGTGAAGGATGGGTCACTGTTTTCTGTAGTAGTGGACACTGAGATAGAGAAGCCATCTGATTGGACTATAATCAAAATATGACTTCAAGCTTGCGTGCTTCCCCTGGTATAGGACTGGCATACACCTGGCCAGGTGGCAGAGGGGTCCCACATGTCAGTGTGAACTGCACTTAGATTGGTATTCCCAGTTTGCCATGTGTCACTCACCAGTCAGGGCCCTCAAGAGTTTTGCTGTGTGACTCCACTATCATCCTCCCAAGCAGTGTGGCTCTAGGCACCAACTTCTCACCCTGGAGAGAGTGTGGGAGTGAGCTTCAGCCGTTGTATTCTTCCCCCGCTTTTGTGCCTTGGTGCTGGGAGCTGCCCTGCCATCTACCTACCTTCTACAGGTCCCAGAACTCTATACCAGGTGTACTGATTCTTAAATGAGCTGAGGGTACACTTGCAAGGGCTTCCTCAGCACTTTAGGTGGAAGGACCAGGTTCAAATTCTGTGCTACCCGATATACTGTGATGTTTCTCCACCCGCTTCCTGCCTCTCAGTCCTGTTTCTCTTCTTTTACCTCTTTCTTTTCCTATCTGTATCTCTGTCTCTCCAACTTTACTTCCTTTTTTCCTCTCTCTCTGTTTTCACTCCATCTCTCTCTCCTCCTTCTCCTGATCTCTCTTGCACTTGCTCTGTCTTCCTCTCCCCACACTCACCCCACCCTCACTCTCCTATCAGTCCCAGACTTCATGGTACATCCACAAGGGTTCTACCTGCTTCATCTCCTTAATCTGCTTTCTCCACCAAAGCATATCCTTCTTCGATCTAATTCAAGCTCCCCACGTTGCTTCCCCAGAGCTCTCCAGGGTACAGGATATGTTGACCACATCCTGAACCAGGCACAGGCAGTTGGACACCATCAGGGGAGGAAGATACTCTTTATGCAGATAGGATAGGGGGCATACAGGCCAGGGTCAGGCAGACAATCCAGCTAGACTACCTATCAGTATTCTGAATCCACTCCTCTACTCCCCTCCCTATATCCGTCTAAGCTCCATCACTTCCAAAAGCAGGTGAATGTTGCTCACACATAGAGCACACACTGGAGACCTTTCTCTCACCCCAATTCTTGGCCTGGTCCAGCTTCCACCTGAGGCCTCATATACCTCTGGATAAATTCCCATCTTTCCCTTGGTGAGCCCCAGGCACTAAAGAGTTCAGTTATAATTCACTGTGAAATAAATCCAGGGATTTGAAAGCCAGCAAGCCACCCTCCCCCCAGTCACCCACCCGCTGCCTACCCACCCCAACCCCCACCCAGTCCCCTGGCCAGCCTGCCTTTATTGATGCCGGCCTGCCAAGAGAGCCTAACGAGGTTCAGACCTCCACCAGTCTCTGGAGGCCTCATTATCCAGGAGGAAAATAACACAGAAAGAGGGAGGAGGGCGAAGGGCAGAGATTGATGATTTCCAGGAATAAGGCAGAAAAGCTGGCCCCTGCTGCACTCTTGCCCCTTGCGCTTATGAGAGCTGCAGAAACAGACCTGCCAGTGCAGGCCTTCCCAGGCCCAAAGAGGTCCTGGAAAACACCTCTGCTTTCCGAAGGCTGGAGGGTCTGCCTCTGAATGTTGTGCAAGGCAGATGGTTGGGGCTGAGTCTCTGCTCCAACTCTGAACTACATTTGTCCTCAGGATGAGAGAAGTGACAGTTGACATTCAGTGGATGCCTACCGGCAGGCACTCTCCATCCGGTCCTCCCTCTGTACACACACATGTGCACCCACACACCCTCTTCAGTGAGGTGGGTGGGCACTAGGTTTCTGATACTTTGGTGCAGGAAGTGTAACTCAGAGATGGATGCTGCTTGTCTTAGAGGCACTCAAGGAGAACCTAGATCAGTCTTACAGTTTACTTCAGTTTTCCCTGAAGCCTTCATGGAATAGACGATAATAATTAATAATAAAAATGGCAAAATGTTTTCTGAATAATCACCAAGGATGCACTGGCAGATGTTTAATCACTAGACAGCCTAAAAAAAAAAGTTGATTCTGATGGGTAGTTTTGCCAGGTTCCTTAGTGGAAACACTCCTCTCTGTGACAGTTGAAGATTTTCAAATAGAATCACCGACATAAAGTTGGGAAGATGAAAAGACTCAGGCACTTTGGCACTAAGCTGCAACCTTCCACTGTCACATTGCCATGACAGGCTCTGTTCTAAGTAGTTTAAATGTCTGGATGAAGACTTGATTGTTATACAAAGGAGTGGATTGTCAACGTGAAGAACATGTGTCATGATTAGTGCACTAGCCAGTGTCATCGAGTTGAACATGATAGCTCCTTGGTGGCCAGCACACTGTAGAAGCTTTAATATTGATAGCAAAAAGTTACAGGTACTGAATCAGTTGATCAAGATTGGTCCCCAATCCCTTGGCGCTTTCTTGCTATGCGTTGTGAGACACATCCCATCGCTTCCAGAACAAGATTCCATATTTGTAAGATGAAGGATAGAACGAAATCACCAGGTGTCCAAAACCTCAAATGTCTATAAAGCAGGGAGGCAAAATACATGTGTGAAGCAGACTGGTCATTGGTTTTGTATGTTAAATACATTTTTAAAATTTATTTTTATTGGAAAGGCTGACATACAGAGAAGAGGAGAGACAGAGAGGAAGATCTTCTGTCCGATGATTCACTCCCCAAGCGGCCGTAATGGCCAGTGCTGTGCCAATCCGAAGCCAGGAGCCAAGAGCTTCTTCCGGGTCTCCCATGCGGGTACAGGATCCCAAAGCATTGGGCCATCCTCAACTGCTTTCCCAGGCTGCAAGCAGGGAGCCGGATGGGAAGCATGGCTGCTGGGATTAAAACCAGCGCCCATATGGGATCCCAGGCATTCAAGACAAGGACTTTAGCCAATACGCTATTGTGCAGGGCCCAATACATTATTTTAAATGTAAATAATTATGGTGTTTCTTATAAATATTTTAGACACAAAGACTCACTCAAAAAATAAACCAATCACCTGTGTACGTACTCTAACCTAAGAAGTAACATTTTGCAGATTGAGATTCTTGCCTTTTTCTTGAGAGATAGCTTGAAGCCACTCCCCACAGTAGAATGTGGGATTCCATTTCTCAGCAAAGTCCTTGTTCCCCTCATGCCAGACAATGTTTCCATCACCAGTGTATGCACTGTTCTGGTCTCCAACACTATAGATTTGTTTTTATTATTGCTGAACTCCACATTAACTGAAATGACCAGGTATGTGCCTCATGATGCTCTTGTGTCAGCATAACTTTTAGCATCCATTGAGAAAAAAAACAAACCTGTTTATATGCACTTTTAAGAGATATAGGCATGGGGAACACATCCTCTCATCTCACCATCAAGTTGAAACAAACTCAATGAGAGATGGAAATAGTTCTTGGAGCTGAAGAGACTGTAGCTAATGGTGAAAACAACCAAAAAAAAAAAAAAAACCACTTTTGGCAGTTCCCATATGAGGGTGATTTTACCCAACTGCAGCAATTTGAAAATGTGGACCTAGAGTGATCACATTTCTGTTTTTCCTTACTTAATGACATTTGAAGTTTAGAAAATTTGAAATCTATGCAAAATATTTTTAAAATTTACTCTGAGAGAGCAAGAAAGAGAGGTAACATCCAGGAATACCTGGGAGATCGCTACGCAGTTCAGATCTCCCGAGGAGCATGCAAGGAACTGACTGGTTGAAGTGCCACTCACAGCTTCTCAGTGTACCCTTACAGGAGACTGGAATTAGGACTGGAAGTCACGCACACCAATATGGGTTGGCCATGTCTCAAGGGACATCTTCGTTACCATGACAAACACCTGACGTGAAATGTATTTATTTATTTGTTTACTTTTTGTTGTGTTGGCATACAATTTTGACTTTCACTAAGTGCTTGTATGTCATACTAAACAATTTCTGTGGATGATGCAACCCAAAGCCTTTGGCGTGCAAGCTACAGCTGCAATAGACTCTTCCATTGTAGATGTCTACAAGTCTGAGTGGCAGCACATTCCCAACCAGCTCCTAAGAAATGTTTCCAATTACTCCTGAAACCCCCTTTGCTTAGGGGTTCCAGGGAATTTTCATAATAGAAATTTCTAAGCAGCTGAAACATGGCTTTTATAATGGCTTATGGAAAAAAAAGAAAAACACAGAGAAGCGATGAATTAAGGAAATAAGCAGGGAATTTTCATGAATTGACTACTCTGCTATATAGGCATTATTTGACAGGCACCTTCCAAAACAAAATCTCACGTGGTCTCCACATCCGAATGAGGCCAATGCTGTCACTGTTTTAGATTAGAAAACTGAGGGTCATAAAGTTTGTCGCTGTCAATTCACATAACTAATGTAATGTGGCTAACTGATCTGTACTGCATCGTACAAAGGAAGTGCTCTACACAACTTTTGAAAAATGAGCAATGGAATGCATGCAGACAACAGATACGGAATTTATTTCTTGAAAAACAGGCAATCACCTTCACCCGTTTACTGTTACTATAATGAAGTATCTGATGCAGGTTAATTTTATAAAGAAAAGGGACGTATGTAACTCACAGTTCTCGATTTTCAGACATGACACTTGTGTCATGTTGGCTATAGAAAGAACCTCATGGCACACAGCAAGAGCATGTTGAGAGACAAAGAGAGAGAGAGGGATCAGATTGCTGAGCAGGGGGCCAGAGAAGGACTGGCTCCTATATTTCTTTCGGAAGGCACAGCCTCAAGATATCTCAGTGGGGATACCAAGCACTGTTGAGGAGAAGCCCACAGATGAGGAGATCTGGGCAAAATTGGCTAGTTTCTGAAATACTCTTGGCCACATTCCAGCATTCATTCATTTATTCTTTTTTTTTTTTTGAAAGATTTATTATTTTTATTTTCTTGGAAAGGCAGATGTACAGAGAGGAGGAGAGACAGAGAGGAAGATTTCCATCCGATGATTCACTCCCTAAGTGGCAGAAACGGCTAGTGTTGAGCCGATCCGAAGCTGGCAACCAGGAACCTCTTCCAGGTCTCCCATGAGGGCACAGGGTCCCAAAGCTTTGGGCCATCCTTAACTGCTTTCCCAGGCCACAAACAGGGAGCTGGATGGGAAATGGAGCTGTCGGGATTAGAACCGGCACCCATATGGGATCCCAGTGGTGCGTTCAAGGCAAGGACTTTAGCCGCTAGGCCATGGTGCTGGGCCCCATTCATTTATTCTTCATTCACTCATTCAATAAACATTGATTGCATACCTCCAAAGCACATTCTTTAAGCAGTAGAAATATAAGGAAGGACATATCTATGCTTATGAAAAATGTATCCAGAAGAAGGACCATAGCTCAAAAACTGATAATGTGGGGAAAATATACATATATATATGTATTCGTGTGTATATGTACATATATATATGTATATATATATATATATATGTAAATCACTCAAACTAGATTCTTCACTCAAGCAGAAAAGGAGCTCCTTGTGGAAGATATCCAGGAGAGTATTTAATCTGGTTTTCTGGATGCAGTCTTCTGAAGATGCCTTTTTATGTCTTTGATTTTCCTAGACTCATCTTGTGTGACTTCCATGTTCTAGACAGTCTATCCCCAGCTACATTTGTCACAAAGCCTGTCCAACTGTCCAAACCTTGGTCTTCTCTTTCACCCAAGACTAAGCTATTTTGTCACTGAAGGGTTTTCAACCTTTTAAGGAAACTATAATGTTCAAAGCATGGACCTTGTCATCCAGCTGGGATGTGCTTTCCGTCACTGCCAGTGTGTACAATTTGGGGAGGCTGTTTTACTTTCTGTGCTTCAGTTGCCTCTTATATAAAGCAGAATCAAGAACAATGCTTACATAAGAGTTTTGGAAAGAATTGCATTAGATGAAAAACACTGAGCACAGACCTTGGGGCCTAATACTCATTTAATAGGGTTTAGTGATGATGATGGTGATGGTAGTAGTAGTTTCATTATGATGAAGACAGAGGAAATGATTGGTCATGATGGTGGACATGATAGTAGTAATGTAGGATGATCGCTTTACCATGGTGATGATGATAATGGTGGCAGTGGTGGTAGTGATGAAGTTGATGGTGACAATTTTATGCAGGAAAAAAATTACTATTTCTACTCACTAAAGAAGGCCATGAAAGTCCTCTTACAAAATCTGACCTGAGTGAATCCATGTCTCACTAGCATCCAGAGGTACAAGCTGACATTTGAGGTGCCCCTTTTGGGTCTTCCAACCTGTGGTCAAGCCTTTTCCTTCAGCTCCCACTGCCTGTCCCCTTCTCAGTTCTTGTTAAACGCAGGGAGTCTCTCCAATGAGACAGGTGGGATTTGCAGCCCGGAGTAGTAGTGGAAAATTCAAAAGCCAGGAAAGATAAATAGACTAATGCAGATACTGTAAATGTTCTTTTTCTGAATTCACGTCAGGTAAGCTTCAACTGACAGAAACTCGTGTAACATACCAATACACTCCTACAGATGGATTAAATTAGCTCTCAGATAAACAGAGGGGATGGTATAAAAATCCCTGTTGTGTCCTAACCTTACTTTTTTTACTTCTTGAAATTTTACCAATGCCCTTCAACACCCTTGAGCTTTGGCCAGGGACAGACTCTCAGGATCTAAAATGAAAACATGGTTTAAGTTTTTCTAAGAGAATGAAAGTAGGCAGTCCTGTCTGCTATAGTTCTATGAGTGTGGAATAGAGAGGAAGACTGTAGTTTAACTGGGAGAAAAAATATTGAGCATACTAACATTCTTAATTCGAGTTTTTACTATACTGTATTCCATGTCTAATCATGGAGGCAAAAAGAAACTGTGTTTTCAAGAAGCTTAAAGAATTCACCCATAACTGTTTCTACATCATTTTATCTCAATACACTGTCATAAAAAGCCTAAGGACGTTTCCATGCCCACTTCATGCATGCATGAACCAAGCCTAGTGAAAATGTAGAAAGGAACTTCAAGTCAGGATTGTAACTTCGCTTGTTCTTCAAAGTCCATGTACCACCTTGTGTATATCCTGGGAGCAGGTCAGGCCAGGTCAAAGAGGCAGCATGGAATGGATATCCAGTCTCTCATTGTGAGACTGATTGGGAAATCGTCAGACAAGTCTCTTTGTTGAAGATCTTTAATTCAGTTCAATCTCTACTAATCTGGTACTTAAGATTTTGTGCTTGGCATTTGTTGTTCCTCCAGAGCTCTCAAAGCCAGGACAAATAAGGAAATTATTGACCATTAGTAAAATTATTTCTGTTTGGACATGAATACTCTCTGTCATAAGCAATTTACTGAGTTTCTTGTTTTGTCATAGGCGTTATTCTAGATGTGTATGGTCTAACATGAAGTGGAGATGCTGCAGACACCCAACCCAGTTTTATCCTGGAGTCATGTGACTCCTTTTGGCATAACCTCACCAAGAAGCCCAGTCAATAGCTGGCTCCCATATAGATCTTCCATCAGAGCAATAATGGGCTTGCGTTTCTCATATTCTGTTCTGTGTGATTGTTCGTTTCTTAATTAAAGTTACTCAATGCCAGTCACCCAGGAGAGCAGCCCTCATAGGTTTGTGAGACTGGTTCTTGACACAGGAACTTCTCACCACAATTCTAAGCATTAGTGTCACAATGCATTGTGTTTTTCAAATAAATAATACATGATCTGGCATGAGAACCAAGGCATTTATAGAGAATAAAAAAAGGAAGCTTTGGGGATTTTTGTGGTAGCCCATCCCTGATACTACTTTACCTTACTGGATTATTTTTCATTTAGTTTACCATGCTGTTGAATTTTATCTTATAATCTGCCTTAAATAATTTCCAGAACAATTTCTTATTCCAAATCCTGGTTTCTCCGCTTAACAGCTTAGGAGCATGGGCAACTTATTCTGCTTATGGCATAAGACTAATGCTGATCTCACAGCATGACAGCAATAAATAAATAAGATAGTGCGTAAAGTAATTAGCACCACGAATGCACTCAATATATTTCAGTTGCCATTATTATTATCACCATCATTATTAGTATTAAAGGAGGCTATACATAAGTAGATATGAGCATATACTAGAGCTCTGCCTGAGGGGATTGGGCAGAGCAGTAGAGATGACACATGTCTTGAGCAGATCTTTCGAAGTTAGGTAAGGATTCTCCAGGTGACTATAAGTGGATTCTGTGAATTTCCACATTCCGACCCACACGGATGGCTGTTCATTTCTTACCTAAGGGGGAGAAGGGGAACATATCAAAATAAAAATCCTCTGATACAGAGAAACATGGGCAGCCTCAGGGAGTTATGAGCAGACGTGTGTGCCATGATGGCAGAAGTTGGAAGGGAAGATTCTTTGCCCCTCTAGAGTTCCCAACCAAAGGTTAGTCCAGTCCACCTGCAGCTGACTTGCTCTTAAGCTGTGGTGTGCATCAGCATCATCTTAGAGACTTAGTTTTGACAGGAAGAGTCTCAAGTTTGACCTTGAGACACAGACTCATGAAGTCCAAAGCAGGGCAGAGGTATCCGCCTTTTTAAGGTGTTCCTGGAGAGATACTGGCGAAGGTGGTACTCAGCTCATGCTCTGAGAAACAATGATCCACCCATTTGTCCTATTTTCCTGGTGTAACTACACACATAGCCACATGAATCTTCATGTGTACACACACACACACACACATCCCATGACCCTCTTCTCTCATATTATCTCCAGCTATGTCAGTGAGTCAAGAATCAGAAAACAATTTCTGTTCACATTTTCATTCCCAAGTTTTGTTTCTCCTCAACTTTTGTTACTGCCATAGAAATACACCAAGCATGACATAAACAGTGAGCATAAATATTATTTTGATCCTATGGCTCCTGTTATTGCAAGTAGTTGGGCAAGTTCTCTGTGTAAATGCCTGAATGAGGTGAGGACTTGGGGGTGGTTGAATGTGGTGCAATGCCAAGCTCATCTAACCTCCCTCATTTTCCATTTCTCTGCAGAGAGTTGTCTGCACTGCTGGCCTCAAGTGGTATCCTCACCCTGCTCTGATTCACTGTGTCAAAGGCTGTGAGGTGAGTCACAAGGAAAGATCTTCAGCTCTCAAGAGGCAACCCTCCTGCTATTATTGCTACTGTCATATTAATGATGGCTGCCACACACACACACGCACACACACACACACACACACACACACACACACACACGCACTGTTCCTGGAATGAGATCAAGAATCATGTTTTAGAAATGATCAAATTGAGTTAGAGAGATATAAAGAAGCATATTCAAAATGTATCTGGTATGTAACAGCTGTGATTCCAAGCTAGTTTTCGCTGGCTGCAAGCTTTGTGGTCTACATAATATTGGATCTAAGAAAGGGAGGGAGAAGGGAGTCTGTATTGATTTAACACTTAACATATACCAGGATTTTACCACGATCCTTGTATTTATCCTTTATAGAGCCACTTAGGCATTTTAAATCTTCTCCTGCTTTACTTGCAGATAAATTTGGTCTGCACTGCACTTAATCATTCATTCATTCTTCAATCCAAAACTAAGAGGGATGTCTTTCACTCTGTTGTTGAGATTAAGTAGGGGATCCTTTGGGTCTTTAAATTCTCTGACTTCACAGTTCAGTCATTCCCTAGAGCATGAAATTATGCAAATCTGACTCTGCATCTGTGATAAGCTTGTGAAGATTTGTGTGCATGGGACAGGGTCCTTGGGACATCATCTGCATTCTCTTAGCGTGGCTGACCAAGGAACTAAAGATATGTTTGCATCACTACACCCCAGGTGGTTCTTCTTAGCTATCACTGAAAGAGATGCAAAATCCCTTCCAGGTAGGTATACAAATCTCTGGCTCCCCAAGAGCCACTGAGCAAAATATAGGTGGGTAAGACCATATCATACACGACAAAGATTTGTTTTTGATAAAATTCAGAATGTGGGAAACAAAAACAAGTAGCAAGACTCTTTTAGATTATCAAACTAACCTTTTATTTTACTTTTCAATTTTTAAAGATTTTTTTTGAAAGAGATACAGAGGGAGGAGAGACACAGAGAGATCTTCCTTCTATCAGATTTCTCCCCAGCTAGAGAAAAATCAATCAGAAGCCAGGATCCAGGATCTTCATCTGGGTCTCCCATGTAGATTTAGGGACCCAAGTAGTTGGATCATATTTTACTCCTTTTTCCAGATACTTAGCAGGGATCTGGATTGGAAATGGAGCAGCTGGAACTAGAACCCATACAGGATATTGGTGTTGCATGCAAATGACTTCACACTTTACACCACAACCCCTAAAAGTTTTGTTTTAAAGATTTGGAAATGGTCTGGACAGTGGCCAGATCTAGAATTGTATGGAATGTCCAAACTGGGAATGCTAGTAGTGTGATCTATCTCTCCTTATGGTAAAGACTAGAAAGTAAGGGACAGAGAGGAAATGGACTAACCTAAGATTGTTTAGCATGATAGCCACAGAGCCCAAGCACTAACCCAGGTCTCCTGACTACCACATGGATACTTTTACTTTCTCCTAGACTGTCTTCTGCCTGTGAATAAGCTGTTCTTTGACAATTGGCACAGGCTAAGAATCCTGTGTGAGGTGCAAGTATCAGGATACTAGTGATGTTTTGATCATGAAAACCCACCATTTTCCCAAGCTTCAAGCAGGAATGTCAAAACCAAAGCCAAAACCTTATGGCTATTGTTTCCTTCCATCTCTTTAGTTCAGTCCAACATTTTGGAGAAGGGAGCTTGAATTACCTGGGCACTCTTTCTGTTGAGTTGGCAGTCTGGGTAACTAGTGTGGCAGCAGAATTTGATCCACCCTTTGACTCAGCAGTTTGTCCCCAAAGACCTTCACCTGTCAGGCTCTGAGCCCTCACAATGATGCTTATCGCCTTTGCCCTTGCAGGTGCCCCTCATCTTCTTTCTGTCTTAGCTAAGAGCTAATGGCTTGCCTTTTGTATGAAGCTGAGAAGTGTGCTTAGAAGAGAAATTAATTTTGGGACTGGAGAGACATCATCGATTCTGAGTGTCTAGGGGTAGCGAACACAGAATTTGGGAGCTCTGAGAGACTGTCCTGCAGTCTTGGGCTGTGTCAATGATCTAAATTACATAGTTTGCTGAAAATAAAATTAAAAGGTTAGTTTATTTTTCTGCAGTAATTTTTAAAATCCATCCATACAATGAGTACTTAAATTTTCGTTTAAATATATATTATGAAAAACTATGGGCTCAGGATGAAGGCTCAATGGCTAAATCCTCACCTTGCATGCACGAGGATTCCATATGGGCATGGGTCCATATCCCAGCTGCTCTGCTTCCCATCTAGCTCCCCACCTGTAGTCTGAGAAAAGCAGTAGAGGATGGTGCACCTGCAAGGAAGACTTGGGGGAAGCTCCTGGCTCCTGGTTTTGGATCGGCTCAGTCCGGCCATTGCAGCCACTTGGGAACTGAACCAACAGATGGAATATCTTTCCCTCTGTCTCTCTTTCTCTCTGTATATATGCATTTCCAATACAAATAAACAAATCTTTAAGAAATCTGTACATAAATTTCAAAATTCTTTGCATCAGGAAAATTATTACTTGATTACACAGAACTTTTGAAATACCCTTGTACACCAATAACTATTCTGGATCCTGTTAATACAGTTGCTTCAGTCAAGTGAAGATGGAATCTGTGTGCTTCTGAATTACCTGTCATATCTTCTTGCCCCTCATCAATTCTTACATTCATCAATCCATCCATCCATCAGGTCACAAAATAAATACTTGGTGAACATACATTCATTTTGCTGTCAAGTATCTAGATTTTTTTCTTAGTAAATTTACAAGATAAGCGTGGATAGCATGGTAACAGCCCTGTCTATAAGAAATTTGCAGTAAAGTGAAAGAAATAGCCAAAAGGAGAATTCCAATACAATACATCAGGAGTTAAAACCAAAGCAAGTTTAAGAAGGTGTGTAAGCACAGGACACGCTGGGAGTTTCAGTGCAGGCATTTTGGATTTTTTTACATAAATCCTAAAAATAGGTGTTTGCCTAAGTACATTACATTAGTAGGACTGATAACAACATAAGAAATGCCAGAGATGGAGAAATGTTAAAGTAACAAAGCTTTTATCATGCTGTTCCCTGTCCATAAATTCTCCCTCTTCCACATAATGAACACCTACTTCATTGTTACGATCTCCCTTGAAACATAATTTTCTCATGAACACCTTTGTATTTTTTAAAAAGATTTATTTATTTTTATTGGAACATCAGCTTTACCGAGAGGAGGGATAGAAAGAAAGATCTTCAATCTACTTGTTCACTCCTTAAGTGGCCACAACGGCTGGTGCTGAGCCAATATACAAAGCCAGGAGCCAGGACCTTTATTTCAGGTCTCCCACACAGGTGCAGGGTTCCAAGGCCTTGGGACATCCCCTAATGCTTTTCCAGATTGCAAGCAGGGAGCTGGAAGGGAAGTAGAGCAGCTGGGATGCAAACAAGCACCCATATGGGATCCCAGTGCACAGAAGGGGAGGACATTAGCTGCTAAGCCACTATGCGGGGCCTTGTTCCATAATCCTATCAGAACTGATACTGGACACTTAGATATTTTCTTATTTTTTATCAAAGTTTTTACTTTTAGTAATGCAAAAAATCTAAAAGGGGTAGTGTTGGGTTTACTTTGAGTCTTGCATCCCTTTTCTTGTATTCCTTTTGTAGACATTCAATAGTAGACATTCCATGGTGGACATTCAATAACTAAGGTTAAATAGGGAGTGGATGGATGGATGGATGGATGGCTGACAAAGAAAGGGAAGCATAGTTAATGATGAGATAGGTGACTTTCTCTCAGGAGTCTAAAAAAATGGAATTGTTTTAATTCAATGTTTTCTTTCCAGCAACTTTTTTTTCAAGTCAATTCTTTTTCATTCTAAGGAAGGGAACAACTTTGTCACTCTGGTCATGTAGAGCAGAAATACAATGAACATGACCCATGTTAAACCATTTGAGGTATAGAGAGAAGGAAAAGGCTTAGCCGTTATTTGTTCATTATTAGTGTCTCTTTTGCTCTTTTGAATATAATGATATGCTCAATATACAAGTCATGAAGCAGAGTCACACTGGAGTTAACAGCTGTGTGTACACACATTCACATACCTGAGATTGGCTCTTCCCAGGTCTTAGTTCCATCATGTTAAGGCATTTTTAGACTTGAATAGGGTGATGAGAAAATGAAATCTGGCTAATGTATCAGGCAAAAGGTGCTGTAAAGAAGAACGTAGAGAAGATATATAAAAGCTTGATATGCTACAATGGACTTGTGAATATGATTCTCTGCAGAGCAGTAGGCTGGGAAAGAGGTCACTAGAGTTTGCTGATATCATGATCTCAGACAGAAGATAATATCTTCCTCCTGTGTATGAGTCACTGAGTATTAGAGACCTGAACCAGTTACTGATCAGAATGGTTCCACTTTCATTTGTTTTCTGTGTTGAAATGTCATGCAATATTGCATTTGAGGGGGAAGAGCAGTTTCGTTGCTTTGAGAAATCAATGTACTAATCTGGCCTCTATCCCACTAATGGAAGTTCTGAGAATCAGAGGATATAAGCCACTTAATCAAAATCACAGATTAGTGGCCAGTTGGCAAAGTTTGAAAGTCAAGAACCCTGCCAACTCACTTTTGCACCTTGTCTACACAATTACCTTCCATCTCAAAAACATTACTAAGGCCCAAACATGTGTGATTGTGAGACAAAGATTAGCTGGACACTCCTCATATCTTTGAGAAGTGTACAGGAATGAAGAAGCTGTTGAACTTTGCACTAGGATAATTCTGGTCTCATAACTTGTCTCCGTCATCCTTTTCTCACTTTTAGAGCATCAGAGTATTGGATGAACACAGTGAGGAGGAAGCTAATAAATGTTTGCTAGAACAGCTCAGGTTGAAGAGCAAAAATAGGGAACTAACTTTGATTTAAACCACTATTTTGATTCTCCTAATGTGATCCTAGCCAAACCCATTCTTACTCTATAAAGGAGGAATAACAATGTCCACATCACTTGTTGTGTAGAGAACAGAAGAAGAAAACAAATGTACAAAGTATGTGACATCAAATACAAAAATATATGTTCCTTGTTAAAAAAAAAACACCATCGTATACATTGTGACAAATTCCTATTAATTCTCTTGTTCTATTTTTTATAATCCATGGGCAGTTTACACTCAGCTTCCTAGTGTTTTCATATATTTTATTTAAAATTATGCTCTTAATTATCCCATGCTGGACAAAACAGCAGAGGAGAATACAACTTTTCTTGCCATTTCTTCAATTAAAAATGGGGCATTGATTAATTTATTGGTTAGAAATAATATTTATTATGCTCACCCCCTGTTTATAGATTGCTTCTCAGAAACAAGAAGATACTGTCCATGTCCTCAGTAGCTACAGTCTGTAGAAAATAAATAAATAGAACTCACAACCTATTGACAATATATTTCTATCATTTTAAAGCAATAGCATTTTTACAAGTTGATTCAAAAGCAAATCAAATTTTATGTCTTTCATCAAATCAAGACAATCTTTGTTTATAGGCAACGATTTTTCCTCACAGATCCCTCTCCCCAACTCTTCAAAGAATTATATGTCCTAAGTGATATATCAGAAAGATGTTAGTATCTATTTTGTGACTTTACACACTCTAGTGTTTTCGAATGTATCTCTCAGCATCATATGGCTCTAGTTGGAGGAAATGTGGCAGGATGTGAGTCTTTGCAAATTGTGGCAGTGATGACTTATCCCACGGAGGGTTGGGAGAGAAGCTAGACAGGCTGACTGTAAAGGTCTAAGAGAAGGTGAGAAATAGCCCAACCATAATAAAGGCTCTGAAACACTGTTGGGACCACTGCATTCACCCCCAGATGCTAACAAGGTGTTTCTTTCTGTCTATCCTTCTCCTTTAATAGCCCTTCATGGGAGACAATTACTGTGATGCCATCAACAATCGAGCCTTCTGCAACTATGATGGAGGGGATTGCTGTGCCTCCACAGTGAAGACTAAAAAGGTAGGGCAGTGTGCATTCCTCAAGAGCTGCCTCACGCATACCTCTGCAACTTGCTGTGCCAGAGTCACTCCCACATGCTGGGTGATTCATCATCCTAGTTGTGTCAGTGATCTGCTTGCAAGCTTAATTTCAGCTTGTGTTTTGCTTTGTCTTTTAATTCTCTAAATATCTTAAAATGTAAGGTGATATTTAAAAGTTGTTAGCCAATATCATGTGCTGAACCCCAGGTGATCATTACAGATGTGGTCCTCCAAGTTTAGAATAGGATACAGAAACAGATCACTAAAGTTGCAATGAGTTCTTTTAGAAGTGAGGAAAAAGTATGTTGAGGGTCTGACTCAGGTGTCATAGGTAGTGGAAGCTACCATGGGGATTTGGGGGACCATCAAAGGCAGGCTGTATGAGGAGCGATTCAAGTGTTCCTAATGAAACCGTTGCATTTAACCACAATGCTTATCAACCATTCTATTTTCTTTCTGACCAGAGGTGGGCACAACGTTGGGAGAGTGGTAGAACTTCATCCAACTTAGCTGAGAAACATTCTTGTGAAGAATGAGCTAGTGAGAAATAATTTCTATTTTTGTCCTTGTCTACAATCTGAACTGAAAACGCATTTGATTTTAAAGCTCATCATTTGTTCTAATCTCTCCTTTTAAAGTAGAGGAAACTAAGTTCCTGAGGCAGGAAAGATAAATCAGTCAAGGATGATGAGTCCTTTGGAATTACTGGGCAGAAATTATATCAACAGGGGGACTGCAGCCCAGAAATAACTGATGTGCTCCAGTAGGAGAATGAGTGATGGAAGCAGAGCAAGACTCCTGGCTTCCTAGGAACCAAACCAAGTGCCTTTCTATTGCAACATCCTGAAGAGAGTTAGTTCATTGCAAAAAGACCCTGTAATTCTGAACACGACAGTGAATAGGGAACGGTCCATGGAGTCCATTCCAACTGAAGGATTCTTAATGTAGCTTTTTATGAATAAAGATGCTGAGATTTTCTGCAGTTAGTCCTTCACAAATCATATTTCGTAGCATGTACACCCCTGTTTGATTTAGATTTCTTTTTCCTTGATACTACCTTGATGGCACACATTACTGCTTAAGTTTAGGAAAAGAAAACTCTTCTGTTAATTTTATCTTTTTATATAATTGTGAAACAATACATCTTCTCTTCTTTGGAAAATTCAGAAAGAAGGGAACAAAAGAATCACTCTTATCTTAGATACAAAAGATAACCACTGCTTTACTTTTAGTAGATTTTATTATAGGTAATTTGTTCAGTGCAAAGATGTATGTTTCTCCATATATATCTCTGCATTTGCAGTCTGGGGTTTTGTTTTCTTTGGTTTTATTTACTTAACACAGGAATTATACAAAGGCATTACCAAATCCTGGAATAAATTTAGCTATAATAGCTGTGTATATTTGCTGTGTTCTTATTTATGATATGAATGTGATGTTTGCTATTTATATGGCCATTTATCTCAACTTTTATTCTTCACATATGAGTTATTTCAGTGTCTCACAATTGTAAAAAATGATGATCATGAGCATCTTTGCACATAAATATGTTAATGCTTTCATTATCCCTTTAAAATTAACTCTCAGAATTTATTCCGAAAGTTCTGAGCATTTTCAAGCCTCTTGATTCCTGTCTCCAAACAAATACGTTTCTAATATTGTATCTATTTTGTATTGCTAGAGTATACTATCCTTGATAATGAATGGACAATGAAGTGTGTCTTTTAAAAAGAAGGTCAAGAATTGTGCTGCCATTTAGCACTGTCAGTTGGAAATAGAGCCTCTTTGATTAAGATAACTACTGTAACTTATGTACTGAAATATAAAAAGCATTGGTTTTTCTCTCCTTTTTTTGGCATGATGACGGTAGGGTATATAAGAGGGACTTCCTTAAAGGCAAAATTCTTTCTAAAGAGTGCATGGTGAGGAAATGAAGGCATGATATTAAAGATAAGGTGAAGGTTCCAAATGATTATAAGTTCGGTTCCACGTAGTTGTGTGTAGAGGTGGGTAATGGAGCTCGCATGTAAGCACCAGGTCTCCTTTGTGACTCCTCCTATACCAAGTTTTGTTGCAGCAATTCCAGATTGGGAAAGTGCTGAATCTTCACAAAGGGATTCCAGAATCAGTTTGTTTTTCTGTTTTGTTTTGTTTTTTTTTCCCAGCCAGTTCTAAATGCATTTCCTAATCCATTACTACATTATATATATATATATAATTAAAATAAATATAAAATTATAATATATAATATAATGTATAGCTATATAATACATTATATTATATAATATATATTATGCTACTTGGCTTTGTTGTGTTACATGAAATTGTTTTGCTGCTTTAAGTTGCCATTCCTTCCATCAGCTCCTGTTTCCGTCCTCCAATGGAGTCAATATTATTGAGCCCAGTCCTCGCCAAGGCTACTTACATGCAGTAGGATCCAGACAGACATCAGTCTCCCTTGTGCTAGGCAAGCCTGCTATTGAACAATGCGTTCTGTAACTGTGGCAAGGACAGGAAGGTGCAGGAGCTAACAGAGAATTAGTCTGAAAGTCAAGAACAGCTGTCTTGAGGAGTAGCAATGACAATGAGACCTGAAAAAAGGAGTAAGAATATTCCTGGACAGGGGAAATAGTAGCTGGGGCAGAGGGAGCAGTGCCTGTGAGAGCTCTATAGGCAGTGTGGATTGGAGTAGATGAAGGAATCCCTTGATGCAGATATGACTTTATCATAATTAGTTCAGATGTTCATCCTGTGTTTTGCAGCCTTTCTCACTAGAGATTTCTGGAAATCTGACTTCTGGAAGCCTAAGATGTCTCAAAGTCCCTGTTGTTACAATTTAAATCTCCCAATTTAAGACCTAAAATAGTCAAACTCCTTGAAACCTTTCTCCTCTTTGTTGTACAACCTGACTAGACTGAATTATGAATGAAAAGAAGTAGAAAAAAAGAACGCAAGACACCCTTTCATGAATTACAGCTCATGTTCCGTACTCTTCCAGATGGCTTCTTTCAGCTTCCCTAATCCTGTCAACCCTTGCATGTTGTGATTAGTGTTCCCATTGCACAGATGAACCAGTTTGGGCTTAAAGTGCCTTTGGACCTTGTCCAGGATCTCTTGGCTAGTAAGTCCGGAGGCTTGAATTTAAACTGAGTTTTCTGACTGCCACCTCTTGATTTTTTTTTCCTACATGTGACTGAGTCTCAAAAGAGGACAGCTCACGGGGATGGGATCATGCCCTGATCACATATGGCAGTGATCTTAGCAGTTCTGTTTGGAGACATTTCCTATGAGCCCAGAATGCCAGGGAGTCTTAAGTGTGCGATACTTCCCTTGGAAAATGGGAATGCAATTTTTTGTAGCAGCAAAGACAGGGTGGGCAATAGGTAAGGCTCCCAGGCTTGCTGATCATTGCAGCCCTGGAGGTCCAGATATTAGTTTTCACTGGGTGTCCATAAGACAAAAGGAATTTAGGATTCTAGATTTGGCTTCAGCAGTAGGAAACCCCTTAGAGCAGGAGAAGATGTGTATTCCTTTCATTCTCTGCCCTTATCTGTTGGATCTGTTTAGTTCTCACCTGCTCCCTTGTCCTAGATCCTATATTATAGGAAGTTCTCCTTACCCTAAGCAACTGAGGGACACTCAGAAAGTCATCCGCAGCATACACATGCCCAAGAACTTTCCTGAATTATGGGAAATCCATTAATGGAGCACAAACTTTATGCTGAGCCACTTCTAAGATGTCTTGTGCATCTCACTACTACTATATTAGGACAATCCAGCAAGGTAAAACATTAAGATGCAAGGAGGTGGAGTCAACTGCACAAGGTGGCAGAGTGTTGTATGGGACATCTGCAAGGTTTCCCTTATGTGTTGTTTCATAAGCTCAACAGTGCTATTGTTAAAATGTTGTCTCACTATCTTCATCGTATGGATGGTGAAGCTACGATTGAGAAAGGCTAAAGACGAGAGGGCCAATAAGTAGTCGAAATGAAATGGAAATCTGAGAATTAAAATGTCATGACATCTGCTTTAAACCCCTTTGAACATCTTGTTTCCATGTACTTTGATTGTTGTATTTCTTTTTGTGTGTGAAGCTCCTGTTCCATAGACCTCCTGGAAAGTAATTATTGGTATGAATTCCCGTTCTTAGCAACTCCTCCGGTAGCTTCCTCTTGCCATCCCTCGGCATAAACCTCTTTCTGATCCCCCTGAGATGAGGCTTTCCAGTCATTTTGCCCCACATTGTGTCTTTACTCCATCTATCCTTCATCCCCTGTGTAGGCTGTGCAGACACCAAATGTTCTACCTTGTATGATGTGGCCCAATCAAGCAGACAAGAGCAAGACAGTGCAGGAATTTCTGACAAAAGTGCCCTGGTTCCCACCCAGAACACCTACCTGCAGCGGGAGGGTAGATAGGAAGGGTGAGGACTGGAATACAGGGACTGGTTATGTATCGTTTTTTTGTTGGAGCCCTGAAGAGTGTTGAATATGGTGTAGACTCTGGGATCTACTGATTTCCCTTCATAAAAACAGCAACAAATAAATTCAGTCTGTAGTTAAAATTCTAAGTGAATATGTGTTGAGGAAATGAGGGAAGAGTAAGCAACATTAACATCTGCAATATAACACCTCCCAAGGCTGACTGCTGCCTTGCCTTTTATTAGGCAATAGCATTGATTCCTCTGTCACCTCTTGAAAAGCTCTCAGTGTACAGAACAGGGTTTCGAACTCTACATCATCAACTTACTGACCAGTATCAAGGTCTGGAGAGGGTTTGTTTGCTTTACCTTTATGGAAGTTTGTTTTCTTGTAAGATGGGCAGCTAATCATGACAGCCTTGCATGGGTTGTGAAGAGCCAATGAGCCCATACATGGGAAACTGGCACAGGGCAGACCCTTGTCTCCCCAGAGTTTGTGTACCATGGTGTTCGCTGCTTGCATCTGCACAAACAAAATTCATCAAGCCACTTCTCTATCAAAACTAGAAACACCTGGGTAAATCCACCTTTTGGCTCCCTGCTTAAGACTCCTGATTAGTGAGACAGCTTGTGACGACAGGACCTCAAGGCAGGTCCTGAAGGGGCAGTTTACAAAGCAGAGGATATTGTGCAGTTGGACACTCTCAGTGCTGGCTAGAGATGACAAAACTATGTGGTATCAACTCTGAACCCTGTGGAGTCTTTACGAAGACCTTTGTGTTACAAGTCGGGAGAAAGGGGCCCACAGGGTGTCAGAGGCTTCACAGAACACCGTGTCACCCCATGTGAATCTCTGACTCCTTGGTGGTGTCCGATAAATGCAGTGGCACTTTAAAGCATGCGAGGAGGCTCGGGAGTGCTAGTTTGCCATCTGAGACCAAATCTTACAGATTTCATCTTATTTCTGTTAGGTTCCCTTCTTGTAGCATCTCTGGAAAATAAGAAAACTGTCTGGGTTTACTTTAGGTGGGGAAAGAAAGATGATGCCACTCCAAAAACAGAATATCCAGTCCAGAATGAAATGTTCACTGGAGGCAGAGCCTGGCAAGCCATGAGATGGCAGAAGCCAGTGAAACTGGGAAACAGAAAGAGGAACCTGCAAAACAATGGTTGTGGGAGAAGTCTGTGCAGGTCCTTTGTGGCTGGGGCTTTGTTTTCTACTTTCTCACACTGAGAATTTTTAGTTAGATGGTTAATCAAGACATTGGCAGTTAACTTAGTACATGATAGGGCAATCGCATCCCAGGGAAAGGCTCCCTGACCCGTTTTTTGCCTGTGTGCTTATAAATTTATTTGCTCATCCATTTGTTCATTCATTTAGTGCCTGTTGTGTGATTAGTATTCAGCTCAACACAGACATGGTCCCTGTCCAGACTGATCTGGCATACAAGTGCAGAAGTAATTTAGTAGGCGAAACATGAAAAATATTGTGCTGAGATAGGTTGTGGAGGTTATGCAGCAATCTTTAGTCATGTCACTGAAACAGAAGCTAATACTTGACCTAGGCCCTGGAGAATGAAAATGAACAGGCCCAGGAAGGGTAACCAGAGAAGGAGATCATTAATGGCTAAAGAATTCAAAGTAGGAAAACATTTGGAATATTAGAAGAGTCAATACATAAATAAATATTATATCCCTTTCCACAAGGGCAGGGGGAAGGGGATGCAGGTAAAGCAGTGAGAAGCGTGTATCAATCAGATCATGTGAGGCATTGTGGATTTTGGTTCAGATTTTATTCTAAGACAAAATCAATGAATGACATGCATCAGAATGAAATAGAGATAAAACAGATGTATAGCCATCCCTGGTGAATTTTCAAGCTCAATAGGAGTTACAACAAAGAGCATAGGGAAGACATGAGAGGTAGCTGATCATTTTATGGCCGAATATGAGCCAGAGTAAGAGAAAGGGAAATAAGGATGGGTACCTTAGAGTTTTTCCAAGTCTGGGAGATGGGAAAAAAGGGAGGAAAGGCAAGCAAGCCAATTAATATATGAGTCAGTGAGAAATTTGATTCAGCACACTTATTCAACATTGAGTCTTCTCAGGTGTTCAGCTGTTTACTGGGCCTTTTGCCTGTCTTTTTCTTGGTTGATCTTCACAACCATATGAAATACAGTATTTTAAAAAAATTAAATCTCCATTTTATAAATACAGAATTACACTCCTACGGCAGTGAAGGGATTTTCGAAACTGTTGAACGTGAGGGAAGCAAGATCCTAACCAGGTTTCTTATGGTGCCACCTTTGTCCTCTGGCTCAGTTGTCAACTTTTTTTTTACTTGGCTCCATCCTCAGTTTCTAAACTTGAGCCTGTAGGTTTTTCTCTGTGTCTCTCCTAGTTCTAACCCGTGTCTCTTTTGAAAGTGAAGAGTTTATAGAAAAGTATCTGGAGATTACGAAAAAGTATTGTAGATTCTGGATAGAACAGTCTAGATGTACTGACTGGAGAACAGCAAATAACAGCAAAGAGAAAGAGAAGTACTGCATACAAAAACAGTCTGTGGCATGGGTTACTCCAGCATCAAGCACCTATGAATTTAACTTGAAAATGGAACTGAGATGCCTTGGCTGTCAAGCAGTTATTAGAGAGAGAGATAGAGAAATAAATGGAATTGCACTCATTCTCTGGTTTAAAGTCTTGATCAAACAAAAATAAGTAAAACGTTCATGGTCTCTGCTTCAATAACATACAAAAATAAACACAAAAATTGGTGGGAAGGTAGATGTATATATATATTATTTGTTTATTATTATATTTATTTATAGATATTATATTTTTATATGCTCTAGTGTGTGTAATTTGTATGTGTATAATTGAGCACTTTTCACCCTTAGGCACTGTGGTGGGCAGTTTTTCAAGAATTATTTCACTTATTTCTTATTGCAGTCTCAAGAAATGAGCCCTTTCACTGTTCCCTCGTAATGAATGAGTCCCCTGAATGTCAGAGACATTCTCATATGCTCAAGGTCATACCCAAAGTAGGTGACAGGTCTCTGGAAATCCTGCTATTCAACCCTACGCTTAAAATTATTGCAGGGTTTTAGGATGGAGGGTGATAGAAATGGAGGAAAAGAGAGAAGGAAGAAGAAAGGGACAAGGAAGGGAAGGAATGGGGGCTGGGTGAAGAATCAATGAGAAAAGAAAAAAAAAAGCCAGATATGAGGAATGAGTCCGCAAGTACACAAGAGAGACGAGGAAGCGAAAATACTTTTTTTTTTTTTCCTGAGACTGAGCACTTGAGACCCTGCCCAGGCAGGAGGCAAATGAGGTCATTAAATTCATCTGCGCAGATGGGGGACCCTCTGGGGAAACTTATAAGCAAATGGCATGATGCAATGAAGTGAAATCTACTTGCGTTAGTTCAGGCTGGGACTCAAACAGGGACTGTACTTTGCTCATTGAGAAGATAGATCATCTGCTGCATGGGGACGATATTCGCTCTGTTTTTCTCTGTTTCTAGAAAGGGAAGCTTGCCCAAGGTCACAGAACACATGCATGCTTCCACTGGAAACTGGACTGCAGGCCTCACACTTTTTCCTAAGATGCTAACATCTGCTCCAATGCACTTCACATGAATTTTGTGCAGAATTTATATAGAAAATATTGCACATTTAGGATTTTGGGATGCTGAAAAGGTGACATGAGGTTGTCTAAGATATGGGCTCCAGAAATCAAAATTATCCATCTATGCAGAGAATTATATTTATATTCTTTATTTGATCACTTCTTTTATTAACAACTATCATACATTACATGTTGGATATTCTTTTGTGAAATTATATTCATTAACTTTGCTATCATGCACCACAATTCTTTAGTATTTTACCCAACTCTGTTAGATCACCCTTGTAAGATAGCTCTTATTCTCTCATTTCTACACAGAAGAACCTGAGGCCTTAAAAGAAATAGCTTATCTTTGAGCACAAGATCTGTTGCTTATTAGTTTGGCTAAATGCTTGTTTCTTTATGAGTCTCTGTTTCCCAATCAATTAAAAGGATGTTGTTGTAGTGTCTATCTTAGAGTTGTCAAATGAACTCAATATCTTCCTCTGGAAAGTGTTCATCATATTACTTGGCCAATAAATGAGTGGAAACTGCCATGATCATGATCATGGTACACTTGGTAAAAGTTGTCCCAGGATTGACAGGAAGCAGAGCCATGACTTGCATGGGCAACTTCTGCCTCCCAGTCCCCAATGCAGCAATTCACTGCTACCCTGCTTACTGATCTCATAAGTATTGCTTCAGGGAAATAAAAATAGCTTGATCAATTCATTGCTTTCTTTTCTTTCTCTGCAGGTCACTCCCTTCCCTATGTCCTGTGACCTGCAAGGAGACTGTGCTTGTCGGGACCCCAAAGCCCAAGAACACAGCCAGAAAGACCTCCGGGGATACAGCCACGGCTAAGGAAAGACAAAGAATTGTCAAATAATTCCCAATGCCAGGACCCGCATCCCTTTGGTATTGATTTCACAGTCAGCTGCTCAATAGAATGGCCTCTCCACACCAGGGATCCTTAGCACCCAACCGGTCTGCCTTTAATTTCACCTAGGAAGGACTTATAGTGGGGGCGCATGAACCAATCTCATCATGTTGAATGATGGATGGAATGGAATCTCATCCCAGAGTCTAAGATGGATTGCATATACAACATACAGTCCTGGAGCCTCCTAAAATTCCAACCATTTGTCACATGACTACAGAGAGAAACATGTTCTGTGTCTAAGAGTGTGCACATCTTTGGTTAGTACACATGCATGCATATGCATCCATACAAACATCTGTGTCAAGGTAGTTCTGGAGACTGAGCAGTGAGACTGGAACATAATCTTTCCTGTCTCAAGCTTCTAACCAACACTAACCATGGGAGAAATAGAGTTGCAGAAACTGCTTAAACCAATGTTGAGGTACCAACTTAACTCACACTCTGAGGCTTGGACTATGCAGGGTCATGCACAGTGGTGCAGTCCTTTGGGATTGGAAGAGAAATGGTCTATAATCACCTATCTTTTGGGTAATGAGGGCCTAGGAGGAGGTAAAGATTCCAAGGTATGCAAAGATTCCCAAGTCTTCTGCTACTGTGGGAACCTTACCCTAATACCAGGGTTTGAGGGCCAAACTGGAAATGGCTTAGAATTGAAATGTAAAGGTATTATGCCAGCCCCCTGCTTGAGGCTTCAGAGGCCATAACATCCCTACAGAACCTACCCATTCCTCAAATCTTGCCTTGGGACCACATTTGCTGCTACTTTTCTTGCTGCTCTATCCTATACATTGAGTATCCCCACGATGGTAGAACCAAGTTAGGAAAGCTCCCACACAACCAAACAGTCTGCCTTAAAGATGACTCTCATTTCCCCACAGTTCCTCACTTCTTAGCCCTCCTGCAAAAGGAAACCCCTCAAGGGCCCACGGGGTGACAAGTTAAGTACCCCCTGAGTAGGTTTCTCATCTTGGAAGGGAGTTGAGGGACTTCAGAATCTAGAGTGTCTAAACCAGTGTTAGATTTTGTAAGTGGAACAGTGTTAAATCTCTATGATGTTGGAGCCATCCAGAGGCTATTGGACTTACCTGGACTCTTGGCTCATCATCTTCATCCTAGTCTTCCTGGCCTTTCATACTGCAGTAAGCTTTGATCCTGAAGACCTCACCATTGATCTTAATAGGTGTAATTCTATCACAGAGAATCATCTTGGGTATGATCAGTGTGGGATGTGTTCTATAGGATCTTCAGAGGGAAACCAGAGTTTACAGCCTCTGTACTCAACATGATCATAACATTTTCCATGTATTTTTCTCAGTGCCAGTACTGACTCCCACATTTGTGGCTGGCAAACTCTTCCCTCAATCCATGATCAGCCTCCAAAAGCTAAGTGAAGACTAGTCAGTTTCACAAAAATGTCCGCAACTCTTTGTGGGTCTCTTTACCCACTTTGAGTCAGTCACCTGTTCATTCTCTTTGAATTGGTATGGGACAAGAATACGGCAAGATGAAGCAGGGTGAGTGGCTAAGTTTGACCTAGTTTCTGAAATCTGAATATGCCAAATGAGAAGTTAGGAGGAGCTAAATTAGTGGTATGATACAAATATTACTGCAAAGCAAGTCATCTCAAGTAGTGAAGGCAACCAAAAAAAAATAAAAAGTCATGTGTGAGAATTGAAAATATCAGACACCTGTGCAGCCCCTACAAACTCCTTCATTCAAGGCAGTCCTGGTTAATTCATCACAGCTCCTTTTCCTTTTGGGACCAAAACCAACTTCAGAAAACATTTTACTATATCATTCCAAGCAGCACATACCTGCTAATCAAGGACACTTGAGAACATCTGTTGGCTCTCTGTGGTCAGTTATATCAAGACATATTGAGGTGCTTTTCACACAGGTGCCCACAGCAAGGCTGCAGTGCTTAGTTTTTATGGCTTGTATCATATTATAAGCTCTGAGATAGGGTTACAGAAATGAGAGATTTCCACCACTGTTAAGGTCAGGCTCAAATCCTTTGTTTCTTCCTAACAAAATAACATCTTATTATTATCCAGGGCATTTTCTTTTTCTGTAACAACCAGGGCCAATGCTTAGCAAAAAATAGGAATATTAGAGTCAGTCCTCTTTTGTATCACTGTCACATGTCTTAGAACTCTCGCCAATGTGTAAGTTTTCTCTTTTGCACATGTTGAGAGGTACAAACTAAGGACAGTAACAGTATCACCCCTGTTAGTGGCCTAACAATACCCATAAGTTATAACTGAAAAAACAACAAAAACAAACAATTTTGTAAGACTCAAAGATGATGGAACAAGGTGGAATTGCAGGGACCACAGAAGAACCTCATCTTCTTCAATCAGTCCTCATCCTCTTTGTACCTTTCCTCTCGCTGTCTCCGCTCCTATTTTCCAGCTGGGTAAATATGCCTCACTGCTGACTTCTAACTCCTAACTCACAAATTGAATTGAGCTCTTTTGAGTAATGAGCTACCCAGTCCATTTCTTACTATCATTCCAGTCTCTTAACAACAGATTTGTTTTTTTCCATAAATATTAGGCAAAAGAGGTTACTTGACTGTGGCCATCCTCATGCCCACTTATGAGATGTTTAATTAAGAGGCTCTTCTCAAACAGTGCTGGAGGGTCCGCTCTAGTCATGCAATGCACTGATTCCGCGTTCCTTTTTATTGTTGGGAATTGACTCATTGTCTCACTCCTTCAGTCATCTCCTGCATAGAACAATGGAGTACCGACTGTTTATTGGCAGCTCAGAGGCCCTATAACACTAGGGGTTCTGCATCTGAAGAGGTATTAGTCTGTTAGCAGCAAGAATGGAAAGATCCGGCAGACAGCTCTCTAAGCCCCCATCTAAAGAAACCTTTGGAGGCTATAAAAGGCTCATTGCCTGCCCAGAGGACTTGCATTATCCTCAAATTTTGTGCCAACAACTGTTTAAGGGAATGCAGTCCTTGGAAAGTCAGTTTGGGTGGGTTAATTGGAGTGTTGGAGAAGGGAGTGACTGATGGGCATACATGGTAGTTGCTTGAAGATGGAGGGTGTCAGCCCCTGTTGCTGGCTTCAGCATTACTGAGTCACTGCCTAGACAATTCTGTTGATCTCATTCCACCTTGGCCTAATATGTAAATTCTGTTTGTTAAAAATAATTCTTCAAGACAGATCTCAGCTACCTCCCTTCCAGGTTTGATTTAACTTGGTTGTAACTGTCAATTTGTTATAGGTCTTACCTGTGTTTAAGGAGAGAAAGAGAGAGGGGGATAAAGGAACAAAAGGAAGGAAGAAAAGAAAGAGGGAAGGAAAAATAAAGGAAGGAAGGAAACCATAAAAATCGAGTTAACAGTTCTGAGATTTTTTTATGTTTTTGTCTGGAACTACTTCAAGTGGGAAAATGAAAAGAAGAAATTGGTGGTGACAAAACTGTACAGAGACAGAGTAGTAGATGACAAGGAGATTAAAATGAAATAAAAATGCATGATTTAAAATTAAGAAGAAACATATTGCGATGTTTCCCAAAGGAAATTACTTATTCTACTGACCGAGTAGATAGACATAAGCATAAACATTTCTTTAGAGCACAGAGTAGGATTTTATAGCATTGTCTGTTATTTTCTGTACATTGTGGTAGGTCCAGAAAATATGACCATTCCCCATTGATATGTCGGTGGGATTGGTGGAGTGTTCTGCTTATTTGTTTGGTGGCAATCAGTGGTAGTAGGGAGTGGGTGGGTTTGGTATTAGTTTTCCATATATTAAGGGGACATATTGTGTCATTGTGCTTTTTACGTTCTAAGATGTCTCTATTTACTGGGATAGCACTGCATTTTCTATAAAGACTGCACTCAGAACTGCACTGCACAGCCCAATTTCCAACAATGCTGCTACATGACCGGACAGGTAACTCCAGTAAGTTTTGAGAAACAAACCAGGCTAAGCGAAGAACAAAGTAAGCAAGAATCTAAATAGTAAACAAATATAACTTTAGTCTTGTTAATTATTCCAGTTTTGCCAAATTCCTATCAATGATTTGCTTTTCCGAGGGAATGTATGATAGCCAATAAAGGAATTACATCCCCAGAATATAGAACGGCTAATTCCAAGCAGTTTGATTGGTGATCTTCAATAAGTTTTCACATTGCCTCTACATTTGCCTCAGTTTTTTTAGTGGCAAAATGGGGATAATCATACTTACCTACCTCACAGGGGGAAGACAGGGGACGAGGCTAAGAGGTTCAGTGGCCTTTGGCAATCTGGGAAGGTTGACAAGAACTTCATGGATTAGGCACAGGCTAGTAGTCATTTAGGAAAGATAGGGAGCGCTCTTTGGATATGTCAAGGAGTAATGCTGGAGCTCCCGAATGGTAATCCACCCTGGGAGAAAGACCTATATTGAGGGATATTTGACTTTATAGGTTAATTCAGTTTTCCCCCGGTATCCTAGCCTCTCCTAGTTTGATCATTTGCTTAAAAGCCAATTCCTTCCTACAGTGTAAAAGTCAGTTTATAGTTGTCTATCCAAGACTTACAGGCCATTTTCAAATTTCGGAAGAAGGGAGTCTCTGAAATTCCTTCAGACTTTAAATTCCACATCAAGTGTTCTGTGAGAAGAAGACATGGCATTCTGAGTGCGAACAACTCGGGGCCTCTGAAACCACACACCAGCAGACAGCAAGGAGACTTTGAACAATGATTGAGTTGCTTTCTTGGGTCTCTGTAATCAATAACCTGTCCACAGATATCTATCTATATAAAGATATTATATATAAATATAAATTTACATATATATGCACATGTATATATAGTTGTACATATATGTGTGTATATATATACTTAAATGTAATATTTACAAAATAAAACTGTGATCTCGTCTAGAGAAAATGTACTCATATTACAAACTGCTCTTCCATATTTATGTACAATATTATACCATTTTATTATTGTTATAATTATTATGGGTATTTCTAATTATTCTGAGGTTGAAATCTGTTTGGCACCTTCTGAATGCTACCAAAAAATGACTCTTCATTAAAGTGCTTAAAATCTGTACTATTGAGAATTCTACTGGCCTACTGTAAAAAGGAAAAAAAAAAAAAACAACTCAAAACCAAAACCAACACAATTCCAATCCTTTCTCTGTACCTCACACGCATAAATTTGCTGCTCCTATTTTTGGGTTTATGTTTTTCCCCTGTTTGTGTTTTTATGGATCTAAGTTAAGTCTTTCAGCAATATATAAAAATGTAAATAGTAAACTTTTATTTATTAAGAATGTCATCTTTTTTAATTTATATTTACACAGTTGTTCATCTAATTTATTTTTTCTATACAGTTTTAAATACTCAGACATATTTTGCTGTTCATGATATTTTTACCCTGTCTCATGGATTTGTTATTCCATACTGTTTTCTTCTGGTCTCAATTACAGGTTGAATCTCACAAAAATAATGTCAATGACAGAAATATTTTGCCACTGTTGATTACTATATGTTAAAGTTCTATATTATGAAAATATATATTAGCTTGTATGCTTCAACGTGTCCTTATTTTGTTTTTGTTTGTTGTGGAACACTCGGGGACAGTGCAGTCTCTACACAAACACAGAAACCCAGACCAACAACAGTACAGGGCTGAGTCTACTGCACATGCAATCCTCTATGTAATTAATTCCTGAAGGGTACTGACATTGTATAGATATATGTAAAAGTTAAAAAATGGGGGCTGGTGCAGTGCCATATAATACTCACTCTCTCCCTGTAGTGCTGCCATCTCATATGGGTGCCAGTTCTAGTCCTGACTACTGTACTTCATATCCAACTCCCTGTTTTGCTGCTCTCCCTGGCTTGGAAAGCAAAGGTTGGATCAAGTCCTTGGACCCCTCACGCATGTGGGAGATCTGGAAGAAGCTTCTGGCTTCAACTCTGGCTTGTCGCTATTTGGGGAACAAACTAGTGGATGGTATATTCTCTCTGTCTCTTTGTCTCTCTCCTTTTCTCTGTAAATCAACCTTTCAGCTATTGCACTTATGTAGGAGATCTGCGTTTATAGTGTGTTCCAGGCTCCTGGCATTTTTTCTGGACAAATCCTGGTGTACAAACATCTCTCTCACTCTTTCTCCTCTTCCCACTCTCCCTCCCACTCCCCCTCTCTCCTCATCACTAAAGTAAATAAATTTTAGAACTTGGAGGAAATTGTACTATCATACTGTACCAGTATAAGTAAATGTGTTGAGTTCTTAACTTTTTTTCTGCAAAAATTTATTTAATTTTTAATTAGAGAGATTTACAGAGAGAAGGAGAGACAGAAAGATCTTTCATCTGCTGGCTCATTCCCCAAGTGGCCACTGTGCATGGAGCTGAGCTGATCCCAAGCCAGGATCCAAGAGCTGCGTCTGAGTTTCCCATGCGGGTGTAGGGTCCCAAGGCTTTGGGCTGTCCTCCACTGCTTCCCCAGGCCACAGACAGGGAACTGGATGGGACATAAAACATCCAGGACATAAGCCAGTGCCCATATGGAACCTGGGGGCATGTAAGGTAAGCATTGTAGCCATTAGGTACCACACTGGACCCAGCATTTAATTGTTAAAGCCAGAAATAAGAATTAAAGCAAAAGCACAACTTCTCTGACCTTCAACCCAAGGGAAACAATACTTCTTTGAGTAAATGTGATTTATTCCAAGTGAATGAGACCTGGGTTATCATTAGACCAAACCCATGTCTAAATACCATCTGCCTAGT